TTTCAATGGAACAGGGTAAGAGTGATTTTGATACAATAGCTCTTTGTTATGCCCTGAACTTCTTTATCTCTAGATAAATCCGGATGATCGTGTTCCGAAAATGGCTGAAGATGTTTCACCTGATCATCTTCGATTGTTTCCACTTCATGATGATGTGATTACACGCACAGTCGAAATCGATGACGAATATCGTCTGAAAATGATGTATCATCTAAGATGGCTACGAGAAAAGGCGACAATGTTAGTCTCATTTTACTTTGATGATTCTTTTCTACATTGATTTTGTTCTTTTAATTTTAGCACAACATTTATATGCCAAGTTACTTGTGAACTATGTGATATGGATTTCAATTACACATCAGATTTATTTGCTCATTTATCATCCAGTCAACACCGTGAACTTGTTCGACAGCTCGAACTCATTCACTGCGTCTAGTTTCTGTTCTTTTTTTCACTTATTCTCTTGTAGTTATGTTACATTTTTGTCATATTTTTTTCTTTGAACAATTGTTGGTTTTTGGTTTTCTTTCTTCAATGCCTAGTACTCCCTTTTTTGTGTAAGTTTAAAAAAGCACCTGATCACGTAAAATGAAAGAAATGAATCGTAGAAGTAAATTCATTTTGTTCAATCATCTATCAATCAAGTTGCGTAAAGATGCAATTTCACATAGATCCGATTCTTTATTACGAACAACAGAACAAACGTAGCAATATTGTCTTTAGAAGCTTGACGAATGGGCTCATAACTAATTATTTGACAATACGTCCGATAAAACTAACTGCTTCTTTTTTCTTACTCAAAGATTGTTAGCGACGGTGATATGTCTTGACAGAAACCATTTTTGATGATTGTCATGATTTTTTGTTTCTATTTCACTGAGATATCGACATCAATTTCAAATGTATTAGCATATTCGGCTAGTTTTACTCTTCAAAACTATTTGTTTAATTGAATAAATTTCAGGTCAATAGTGTAGCTTGAAAATGGGCAGTTTCTTGATGTTGGTTCTCTCTATAGGATGGTAAAACTATCGATACGAAATGCAAGAGATCCTAGGGTTAAAATAATATTTACTGAAGAGAAACAGAGAAAGAGAAATGTGAATTTCTTCGTGATATTACGAACACGAACAGATATAAAAAGAGACAAACGAGATTGTTGTGAGTCTCTTGTATCAGAGGATGTGATGAAACCTCCAGCTACCGACTAGATCGTAAGCTGAATCGACTAGTCGAACGAATCTGGAAGGGATGAGAGATGAAGCGAATGAATGTGGATCAGATGATAAGGGTGTTTCATTGACGAAATCAAATAAAACACTAAAGAAAACGATAACGAAAGACTGGTCGAAAAGAGAAAAAAAAACAGCATATATACAGATCGGAGATGATCTGAGAAAAAAAAATAGAAAAAGAAGAAAACAACGAAGAAATACAATCGCAGAGATCAGCATGAGAATGGACATGATAATCAAACGAAAACTAAAACGATAGAAAAGAAAGAGAAAAAGATATACATATATTCCCTTTTCTGAAAGAAAGGGTTATAACCGCGTTAAAACTGGTTAAAGTTTGTTTGTCCAAGCCAATCAGATTGCAGCATTTCATAAATCAATGAAAACCTAACGATGTTCCTTACGAAGTGATTGTTGCAATGTAATCGAGGTCAAGGATCTCGAATCTGAGGTTAGTTTCTCGAAATTCCAATTCGCTAATTACTAATCAAGAAATGAAAAATTTTCTGGTTATCAAGTTAGGGTTCAGCGAAGGGTAATCTGTGCCCAAGATCTGTAATCTGCTGTTAGTTTTTCAATAAAAAAAACCTGTTCTATTTTTTAGACAAAGGTCGATTTTTTAGGCGATGACATATAGCTCGGCTGAGAGTATTCTTGAGACTATGTATAACAAAATCTATTCCTAAACACACATGAGGGTGGGCTTAGGCAGAGCCGAGCCTATCCCTATCTATTCATAAGTATGTGTAGGAGTGTATCAGGAATTCGTCACTTATATTATAAGTCGAATTAGGCAGCAAATGACGAATTCCTAGCACACTACAATCCCTATATACAATAGAAATAGGAATAGATTTTGTTTGAGTTATACATATATACCCTCACCCATCCTAACTTTTGTTTATCACTATTTTCATGTGTTAATAGCCTTCAATTTTATTCAATAAATCGGTTGCCTTTTCATTTATTTTATCTCCCACTCTCTGCAATACTCGTTCTCCACAAAAACATGAAGTAAGATTTTTCTTCTACTTTCATACCAGAATCATGACTCACGATTCATGAGTCGATGAGATTTCGTAAATTTCCTTCCACTGATCGATTTCTCAATACGAATTTGTCCTTCTTCTAACGCCACATAATTGATGAAATCACCATTGATCTGAACAGGAAGCATTTTTGTCGCAAAAAGATATGACGCATTGGTGTTTAATGGTAGACGTTGAACGAAGACTTAAACGAGCACGAAAGCGAAATAATTTCCTACTTACCAGTGAATGTCTTTTTCTGACGAATTGTTGTCGTCCATCGACTTAAATATCATTCCATATCATATCAGAGCAGTTTGACAGAAATGTTTTTTAAAAACAGCATATTGGCTTCGGTGTTCCCAATTACATCAACGTGATCGTCGATATCTCAAATCGCTACGCTCGAAGATACGGAAAATACATTAATAGAAGAAAACGTCTCTCTTCGCCGACTACCGACTAATGATGAGTGAGAGAAAGGAATAGAGAACGATTCACGTTTATCATTAGTTGATTGTGGACGTATATGATGCGAGACAAGTTCAGATCCTGTGCAAAGAGAAACGTTTTCTGCTACTAATGTATTTTGCATCAATGGATAATTTGAAAATTTTGTATTTTGTCAGGAGTATCCATTTGAAAGGTCGACGTTGTCGTGACGATAATTAACAATGCTGAATCCCAAAGATACTGCTTTATTTTAACGAGCATATTTTCTTCTAAACTGTTCCAGGTTGGTGCACTTTACGAATATTGATCATTCGTACACATACATCACACAGAGCAATGGTTGATGATAAACCATTTGAATAACGAATAAATCGCTGGACACCAGGACGTATTCGATAATTTTCCTACACTACTAAACGAAGAAAGAATAAAAACATTTTTAGTAACGCAAATATCTCACTTGAAAAGCGTGTTCATCATTTGCTGTTTCAGGGAAACCTTTCTAAATCAAACTTTGTCAAAGAGTCATTCGTCTCATTGCATTATAATGTTGATGCGATCAAGTTGATTGACTATCTAAGATAACGTCACATTTGATGATATTTTGTGCAGTAGCTTTGATTACATCTTCAACTTGGCATTCAGCAACAAGTCAATCACCGTAGTTCTATGGTTGAGCGTGCCAAAAATAATGAATTAATTGTTCCCAAACATCTAAATAAGAAAGAGATAGTTATTTCAAATCATTTTTCTTCTGCAACTTGCTAAAATGCTTCATTGAATAAGATTAACAAAGTGCTGTAAAATGAAAAATGGTTTTATCGAAATGTATTGTCTATTTTTTTTATTGAAGAATGTCCACAACACCAGCGACCGCGTCGAAGACATTGAAGAACAGTTGCGTTCTTGTTTTCGATGGCAACTCCGACACTATTAATGAATGTCTTCGACGTCATCTGCGCAAATTGGAGAAGACCAATAGAACAAACAAAAAGAATGCTCGTAAGGGTGCTTCACATCCGACCAAACTAGTATTTCTAATTTACTTTGACGATGGAGGTAAAATGAAAAGTAAATAACATTTTAAACAATGAATCGTGTTCTTCCTTATTTTAGTCATATCTCGAACATATTGAAGCCAAGATTGCTTATCGGATCGGTCTCTTTCGATATCTATCGAGATCAGCACAAGAACCAAACAACAAGACGATGATGAATGTCTTCAAATCCGTTATACGCACAGTCATCATATACGGCTATCCTGTCCTTCTCACAGCCGACCAAAAAATATGGGATCGCTTACAAATCATGCAGAACAAAGCAATCAGAGCTGCATTGGATTTACCCATATTAGAAGCGTCGATAAACTCGATCATTCTTGTGTCGCCCGAGTCTATACAATATAAAACGAATTCAATTCAGCTGACTATTCTTTCGATCGTTTTTCTCGTTCTGTCTTCTTTTCATATGTAATATCGAATCGAATCGAATCAATGTATTTCCTGACTCTTTTACCACTACCGAATATTTCACTCATTCTTACATCTAATACGAGAAAGATTCAATCTATCTGCCGATTAAACCATAACCGTTTCAATTCTCTTTCCTTTCCTCCAACTTCTTTTTCTTATCATAATACATCACAGACGCACACCACTACCATACACAAACCATATTTTCTCCGTGTTTATTTTCTCATCCTTTTTTCCTAGGACAAAAGACATTCGTCATGGGTCCTTTCTTCTTTCATTTCTCGTGCCCAGCTTTCGTGTGACAACTAACCGTTGATTTTTTGCTTATGCAGTAATGTTACTTTAGTCAACGAACAGAAAGGACCAATTTCACGTCCGACACCACCGATATCGCCGTTCAATCGTTTGTCGGTGAGTTCGACGTCGTTACCATTGGTCTCAATTCCACCACGATTAATTCCATTGGCAACAACAACTACTTGTTTAATTTTACCGATAGTTCTTCCACCATCATCACCAGCTGCTGCTTCACCAACTATTACTTCGCCATCATCACCTACTGCAATGGAAACTGTTACATCTAATAAAATGCAGTTTATCTGTTCAATTACCAAAGTAATTGATAGTTCATTCTTTCTTTTCGAGATAATAGATATAATGTTATTTTGTAACGGATATAAGAACTAGACAAACAAAATTGCATTCTTGATGTCTGCTTTTTTCTTTTCAGGAAAACGAGCCCGCATGGTTAATTGGATTGAAACAGTTTCATCACGACGCACTAAGACCAGTTGACAAGCAAATTCAACGATTGAGTGATGATCATCGAATAGTTGAAGATCATTTGAATGAAGCTGAAGAAATGATCACGTCAACTGCTGAACAGAAAAAGCAACTGGATGAAGAATGCCGCCCAGGACAATGGTTCCTGAAGTAGGATTCCATGGAATCAACAGAATACCACGGAACCAGCCGTTTACGTGCCGGATTGTTGGACCTGGGCGTATGGTGGATGATCAAATTCGACATTTAGTGGTCGAAAAAACGATCATCTACAATAGTTTGGTCCTTGTCAAAGGACAAAACGATAAAAGAATTTATACGAACCAGTCTGCGTTGATTAAAGAAAACATTGATCAGATGCGAGCCGCGCGAGCTAAAATCAACCAATACTGGCTTGATCGGATCAATGACGAACTTCGAAAACGTCAAACGCACAATTATCGGTAAGTTTCATAAATCAAAGTAAAGTTTTCCTCAAATGCGACACATAAACACCACATTTAACTCCTTGTTTGTCTCAATTGTGTTTTCAGTCATGGTGTCCTCTCATCAAAAACAACGATCAAACGTTTGAATCAAGACGGTGGTCGACGAAAATCATTTGTTTTGTGAATGTGGACTTTGTTTTTAATCAAGTCAATTGTTTCAGTAATTAATCAATTTGTTTGCTTAATCATTTTGCTTTGATTGTTTAATTTGTAATTAATTGTCTATAAAATCAATAAAATTTTATCTGTCAGAGAACGAGAACAAAATAAACTTATTTTGAATGATACTAGTACGAAAAAAGAACTAATTCCACATACGTAACATTCATGCGATCACCATTGAAGAAAATGATCGTACCACGAACATTATAGCGAATCGGCGGAAAACCTAAATATGTAACTATAAGAGAAAACTTATAAGCGAAATCAATACTCATTTATGAAATACATGCCTTGCTTTCGCGATGCCACCATCACATTTGTCCATTATTTAATATTTAGCGATCGCGCTCACTACGCAGAAGAATTTCATTTCAATATCATCTTCCTTCTTTTATTGAATTCACATTTGTTTTCAATCACAGTTACAGGAAACAACTGGAAAAACATGCATTCACAAGAAAAAAAAAACGCAACAGCCAACGTTTTCCCACAAAAGAAATGCAACTTGAAAAGTATCGAAACTACAAGAAAACGAACATACAACAAGAACCGTACACAATAGAATACTTCGAGTTTTCAATCTAGTTCTCGATCCCAGGTTATTATGGCACGGTCGGTTCCGACCGGTTAGGTTCGTTTTCAGACCATTTCCTTGCCGCTGGAATCGGCGAAAACTGTGCCGGAACCGACTCAGATTTCAACGGATCCAGTCGCCGGAATGATCGACCTGGGTTAATGTTGATTGGATGATAAATGAGAAAATAAATCTGATGTGTAATTAAAATCCATATCACATAGCTCACAAGTAACTTGGCATATAAATGTTGTTCTGTGTAAAGAAAATAAAACAAATCGAAGTTGGCCACGATCATCAAACACAAGTTCAATCATATTGTTGCATTTTGTTCGAACAAAACCAAATGACACATTATTTTAAGATGGTATGTATCATCGATTGGAACTGTACGTGAGATCACATCATTATGAAGCGGAAATGATCAAAGATGATCTGGTGGAACACGATCATCCGGATTCAACTAAATATGAACGACACGAAGATTTCACTCGGTCTTCTCATACTGAATATGACTCACTCGATTCCATTGAAGTGTTCCAAAGTAATTGTTTCGACTTGGTGGTCGTTTTGCTTCAAGTAATCTACGATTTCAGAGAATGACTTTCGATTTAACATCAAGCGAGATAAATAAANTGTTTCTGTATTGACTTCAAACTTACGTTGATCGATCGGAACATGTTCAGTATTTCCCCAATCAACAAAGAAGACTTCGACAGTCACATTATCAATACGATGTGTAATTTTCGCTCGATAACATTCGTATTAATTGAGACTATTGTTGTTGCTGTTGCTTGTGACGATGTTAGAAGAAAAACTTGTACAACACACATCATTCTATTTTCAACAAATGTTGTTGTTAATGAATCTTAATGATTGTGGTGAGATTTCGTTGATTGATTTCATTTGTTGCACTGATTTCGAATTAATATATTGTGTTCAAAAGTAGTTACTATGATACACAATGCAGAAAATGACTGAAATTGATTATCGAGTAAAGATTATTGTCATAACTTGTAATAATGAATTACTTCTCTGCGAATATCTAAACGGAGAAATATTGAGAAAATGTAAGAATAATTCAAACTATCTCCATTTCATACTATTGATGTTGTATGTAATATCGACAGTAAAGATAAATTATTATTGACTAAGTTCAAGTCCCATTTTCAATTAGAATCGCAATGAATCAAACAAATGCGATTCGAGGCAGCAAAAGAAAAGAGACTTCGATATGTGAGCGTGGTTTGTCCATTTCGTTGATCTTCCTGATTTTTATGAATGATGTCGCTAGTATTCATATACATATGCATATGTATGTTGTTATCTGTAAAAGATACTCTAGCGTGAATTAGTTTGAAGTTATGTATATTTAGTTAGTCTAGTCATTACCACTCAAGAGTTAGTCATGCTAAGTTAACGGCAGAACGCTGCATTGTTTTGACAAAAAGCGCAGCAATCTGTCACGAAAGATACATCTGATCAAATTTGTTTCTTTCAAAGATCAGCGTTGTTATTTTATTTGAAAAATCAATAATTTGAATCAATTTTGAATGATTGACAAAGTAAACAACAGTATTGCAAACGGAGTGAAGATCGAAATATTTGTTTCTGTGTTGAAACATGTTCTCTATTCAAGTCTTTATAATCGTTGACAGAAATCAAAAAAAGATGCCAACAAGTTTTGTGGACTAAACGAACATAGAAGCTCTTCATATCATTTTCACGGTCCCAATTCGGAAATACGATCTGATCCAACATCAGAAAAAGAACGCGAAAATTATCGCTTTCCCTTTGGCCGAAAACACACCGAAAAAATAAATTTAAGTTGGAATCGTATCATCCAATACAAGTCTGTTTTATCTCTTAAATCATCTTTTTTAGACGGCTTAATGATAAAACAAAACGTGATGAACCATAATCATATAACTCATCAGACGAGAGACATATATTATTCAACAATACTCGTCTGATATGATCATTTCCTCATTCATCTATATAAACTGATAGGTCACAAGACATAATCGATCTTCAACATTATTCGACACTTCTTCAGCTTAATCGTAATATACTCAACTTCTCAATGGATCAAAATGATGTTCAACATCTTGATGACGAGGTAAGTGAAAGATTTATTTTACAAATTAGTTTCTATTTCAATGGGAGTTCTGCAGTTTGGATCGAATGAGAATAGACGTCAACAATCGATCTGGATTCACTAGATGATGATGTTGAATGATTATTTTCTGTTTTGTAGGAACAAATGCCAGATTGGGTGATCGAAATACGTGAAGGATATCGTCGAGATATGGAAATTTTTCATCAAGGAGTTCTCGAATTACGAGGCCAACTAAATCAATGTTTGGAAGGAATCGCAAGAACAAATGCTGATCTGAAACGAACGCATCAATTACAAGTGGACACTATGGCACGATTACGTTCAGTGGATGCAGAAATTGACTTATGTAAACAGAAAATGGATGCATATGATCAACAACTTACGGTGTACCGGGAAAAAATTGCTGCTTGTAATGAACAAGTAACGCTCATCCTTTGGATTCGCTGACCCTTTTCTGAAAGACTTTTCAGAATGCTGAACACATTCAGAGACTTTGAAAGAGAAAAAACGCACTGCGATTACTACTAGTGCTCAACTGAATCATGTCACCATGTCACGCACTAGAACTGGAATGAATAGGATACAGAGGTCTCTTTAGGAATCAGACCGATTAGCCATTTGTCAGTGGATAATTCTCCAGCACTAACTATATTGACTGAGAAATTCATCACTCAACGGCTACTCACGGCCAACCATTGACTTTGTCATCTGTTTTTCTTTTTTCACATCACGCGCATGGAAATTTTCATAAATGCTTTACTAAGTCACTCANAATTTCCTAGTCATTTTTCGACCATTCATTTCGTACATGTATTTTTAGATTTTTAACAACAGATTTCGCCTATTTTCCTTTTTCCAATCTTATTATGCGTTCAGAATGGGAAAGATCGTTGTTATTATCATTTCAAAAAGCTATTAGGCCATTCTCGAGACATATGCAGTCTTGTGGGATATAATCCTGACTGAGACTGAATGTAGTTTGAATGTGTTTGAGGCGTCGAAGAACGATCTTTACCATGGAAATGTGGCTGACAGCGAACGTATTAGTGGATGAGGGTGTCTAGGAAATATGAGTGTTCTTATAAGCTTTAGATATACGGTGACTGCACCCACCCTCAACCAACCTAATTTCACCCATACCCCTAAAGTTTTTTCAAAATAGTTAGATCGGTCCTTCAAATCATGATAACAACGATCTTTCCCATTCGGAACGCATAATAAGATTGGAAAAAGGAAAATAGGCGAAATCTGTTGTTAAAAATCTAAAAATACATGTACGAAATGAATGGTCGAAAAATGACTAGGAAATTTTGAGAAAGAAAGTGAGCTGAAGAAAGATAATACGTAGATTATATCTATGGTATCCAAGAAGTCGAATGGCGAAAGAAAAAAGTTTCTATCTTCATTAGAAAATGAGTTGGTGCATTCTCAATGAGCTTCACTCGAATGGTTGGTGTGTGAAAAGAAATAAATTTTTTTAAGGAGAAAGACATGCGTTGAGCGATGAAAACCTATTGTTCAAGTATCAGTTTTTGATGCTGAACCCACAGAAAAAACTTTCAAAGCTATAACAATTTTTTCCGAAGTGCTATCGTCAAAATCCCAGTAGAAAACCTGTTTTTTTAACCCTCGGTTTTCGCAGTATTATTCGATTTCCAGTAGCAAGATCATTTCTTATCTATATAAATCATACATATTCGGATTCAGCGCATCAAACCACATCAGAATCCATTAAAAAATTGACAAAAAAAAAATTTGCTCGAATTTTGCATTGCTCCCACCTTACAAAGAAAGCAAAAAATAACTGTAATTAATGCTTTCTGACAAATTGATCTAAGATGAGCTGTTTGAGTTTTTTATTATTATCGAGTTTGGTGAATGTGTTGACGTATGATTCTTGTGCCTCATCTTTTTGAACATCAAAAACTCCTGTCGCTGCAGAATCAACTGTTGATGGATCAAAGATAAATCCGGGCAAAGCTCGGATAGAAATAGAAGAGTTGTCACACCAAATGTACCCAATGTCTAGAAATGCACGTTCGAAGTCATAAGTTTGCTGTGTTCGAATCCATGCTGTTCGAATTAATCGCGTGCGCAAAATTCGCTGTTGTTTAGCAGATCATTTTAGCTTAATACGCGACCCATACACTTCTATGAATTGATCGGCAGCGACTTCATAATGATGCTTGAATGCAGAAAAAGTAGACGCGTCCAGGATCTGCAAATAACAATACAAATGATTCTACAATATCATAATAAACTTTTATAAAAATTCTAATTTGAAGACCCGAGTCTTATATTATGGATTTCAAGTCATTTTTCAGAAAGGGTCTTGTATTATGGGATGGTCTTTTATTATAGAGGGGGGTTTACTGTGAAACAACAGTGTTTTTTGAGCGCATCACTTATTCAGAATGTTTGAAAGAAATTAGTACATCGTTCTCATCATGAATATTTCATATAGTAATTTTGAATATTACATCAAGACATGACTTTTCCTAAAAGCTATTTGTGTAGAGAAAAGTAGGTTTTTATTACGAAAGAGAGAAAGAAAAAAGAGAATAAAAAGGCATCTACTAGTAGCAGATGCTATTCATTTTATTTTAAATACAATTGTTGTTGTTGTTGTCAAGTGAACGTTTGACTGCAATAGTTATGGATTGTATAAGAATTTCAATGTTGCTTTTGTTTGCTCTTTTCGAACAATCGCTCATGCAAGATATAAAGTCCGTTACAATGACAAGCATGAACGGATTGGAATTTCAGTGTGCTAACTCAAACTGTTTACCATTCGTTACTACTACTGCACCAAACATCCTCCAATGTCAAATCCACTGTTTACGGCAACCCCAATGTAAAGCAACCACTTTTCAAGAGACAACTTGCAAATGTCAATTGTTTAACAACATCGCAGATCAAAATAGCAACTTGCAAGCAAACATACAGGCCACAACAATGATAGTCATCTCCGGAACACGAATTCCATTAGGTTAGTATAGTTATGATAAACTATAGATAATACATATCATATTCGCATCGCATACAGATTGATTCGCCTCATGAAGGGCGTTGCAGACATGTTAAACATTCAACAAAGTTTATGTAAAACTGTACCTGAGTACAATCTGGAAAACTGATGGACGAAAAGTTTACAAGAGATATAGGAGTTTGTGGTTATTAGCATAAAAAATCTGTAGCTCGTCACACTACGTCTGTTGACAAATGAGAGATAGAAGATTGCAAATTGATCTCTATCTTGACCTTGATGAAATCCGTGTCATTTATTTCCAAATCGTCTTTGCTATTTAGTTTTTTACCAGACCTATGTTTGCACAGATTGTTTACTCTCGTTTTACGAGACAATTAGATTTCATTACACTTAATAGACTAGGATAATACGTTTTTCGTGAGTAAACTAAAAACCAAGAGCATATGAAAACAACTATTTTGACCCTCAAGAAAATGACTTCCACAGTTTATACTGTAAGTGTAGTGTGTGGGTCGGTAGCTGTTGTCGTTACCTTGCTTTACACCCATATTCTTGCATAAAAGCAGGCGTAGAAGAAACCGAGGTAAACATGAGAAGGTGGCATTATTCATTAAAAGTGCGAGATATTCATAGTGTCCAAATAAACAATACGGATTTGTAATTGTGCCTTACTGAATTCTTCCTTCTCATTTTAATATTTTTTTCACACAAAAAAGAACCAACCACAACAACATCAAGCTCAGCATCAACTAGTTCGGGATCAATTATAGCGAGCTCGACGTCGACAACATCAAGCTCAACTACAACGAGCTCAACGTCGACGAGTTCAACTTCGACAACATCAAGCTCAACATCAACTAGTTCGACAACATCAAGCTCAACATCAACAAGCTCAACGTCGACAACATCAAGCTCAACATCAACTAGTTCGACAACATCAAGCTCAACATCAACTAGTTCGACAACATCAAGCTCGACATCAACTAGTTCGACATCAACTACAACGAGCTCAACGTCGACAACATCAAGCTCAACATCAACGAGTTCAACTTCGACAACATCAAGCTCAACATCAACTAGTTCGACATCAACGACCTCGATACCAGCAAATGCACCACTTTCTAGTACGTAACAAACGAAATAATAATCGTTTTCTATACGCTGCACAATAAGTTATCATAAGTCCCTTACACAATAGAAGTTCTGGGTCTTTTGCATCATTCTACGTACGAAATTTATCAGAGTTCTTCTGATGCTTTCAAAATTTTCTATAATTATTAATTTACAACGTTTTCTGGGGAACAAAATTTATTTTCGACATTTGCATGATGTTGTTTTTAAGATTGTCATAGCATAGAAACAGTATTTTACCCTGTCTTCACGCATTTCCATCGCTAAAAACGATTGAAAAAGTCTTTTTTGTGCACAGAAATATTGATTAATCCCTAAAAAGTCGAAGTAAGCTTTGAAGAACTTGAGGAGGAACTAATCGCAGAAATAAAGATTCTGGACTCTCATTATGCACATAGTGCAGTCAAAACTACTGAGTGACAAGAAAAGTTGAGTGATACACGATCTCCTTAGTGATAACCTTGACTACGATGGCCAAGTATCTCTGGAGTGAAAGCACTTTGTTATTACGCCTCTGATTGTTTCCTCATTTTACAATCAATTTGACCGTTCTTACCGCGGAAAATAGTGGCTTTCGTAGGTATGATTTTATTGCTTCGTTTAATAACGATTCACACGGTATCCACGGATTAAGAAACAGCATGAAATGTAGAAAGACATATACCTGAAGGTTTTGCATCTGTCACGGTAACAATATTCTGTCTTACATGTCAGAAATGAGCGAGTCTAGCTATAAATTTCGCTTCAAGTCTATTTTAAATACAATCTAAACTAGCATCTGTTCTAGAATTAAAGTTGCGCGTTGTCAGTGCAGGCATTCAACTGTGTCGCAAAAATGAGAAAATCGTAGATACCTTGACGGCATTCGACAATCTTTACAACATGTATTGAAGAGCTTAGCTTATAGTAATCGGTAGCTTATCTTTTTCTACATCGCAAGAAGGACTATCGACAAACTGTACACGAGTCAACTCCCATGAATGTCCGGCATTTTGCAATAGTATGTGCAAACAACATATGCTGTGTATTATTTTTTCATGAAATTTAACCTAAGTTGTGTGATATGGGAAAAAATTGTGAATGAATTACCTGTTATACACACATACATCGAACGGTGACGATAGAAATTAATATTCAGTAGAGGTCTTAGTGACATTTATGGCTTAATACTAGTGCTAATATCCAGTGCGTGGAGATTTGGCCAGTAATCTATGATATAAATAAGATACGATAACGTAGTACTCATTGATGGATAGTAGAAATGAAGATGTATACGGTCGATTGTTGAAGATTCCATTTGTTCTCTTTCAAAACCAATTTATTCTGTAAAGTATTTGCAATGAAATCTCAGTGGTCGTGTCTGTATTCAAATCACTTCTATAAAACCGATAAAACCTTAGAAAACTTACATATATGTTACCAGTTATTCACAAGTCATAGATACCGTAGGTAAGGTCAGAAGTAATCTTTCTGTTGATAGTTTATATAACAAGAAATTTTTTTAAATATTAGAAACAATTATTGAAGTAATAGTAAATAACGTCTAGAAAAATACATAATACGTCATTCTATGCATATTTGTCATTGATTTCTGACCGTAATAGTTGAAGCTATCAGTCTAATTTCGCTCCAAAGTTACTGACAAAATATATGACTAAATAGACGTTCGAATAGCGGCTGCTTAAGATCAAACAACAAATCGTATCCAGATTCTATTATTTCAATATCAAATGAGGTAATAATATCAAATAGCATAGAGAATCAGAGCATTATTTTCTCTGTCAGACTGTGTCGAGAAAAGTCTTTTAAAGCCTATTATGGATGGTATTCCAGAGCTACGATCACAACTTTTCAGATATGTCGGTATATTTTAATGATAATTCGAATATCTTCAAAATCCGATTTTTAAACTAAGCATGCGCCTATTCTACGTTCAGTGAAATATAGAAACTTTTCCCAAAGTCAAGGGTCCGATAGTAAACCTTATCCTTGTCATATAGTTATTTAATGCATGGGTATGTTGAATATTGTAAGCTGAAACATCAGTGAGGCGTACATAAGTGTATAGGAAAAACCATGATCATATGTATTTTTTGAATTTATCATACTCTAGGACTTCTCCAAAGTCAAATATGTTGCCACTCATTTCGGATCATACCGTCGTTAAGTATCCGCGAAAGTGTTCCTCTTTCTCAAATGAATCTCATGAGTATCGTATATCGACTGTAGATGAACGGAGTGCATGAAAATGATAATGGGGGTAAGCAAGATGCGCATAATCTGTAAATGAGACTTTGTTAGAATGCAGAAGATTAATTTGTCATGATGTTCATAACTCACGAGTAAGCAGATTGTGGAGTTAACTAATAGTAGTTGCAGAACAGAGTTGTCCATGTATTTCTCTTTCTCTATTCTACTATGGTTTTCTAATATTCGCTGCTCTATCGTCATCACATCAGATAAACAATGTATATTTCACCCAAACTAAACTGGATAGAGCTAGTACTGTTTCGTTCTGGCTTGTTGCTTAGTAGTCCAAAATAACGTGCAAATACTCATTCGAAAAAAACACCATTCGATTCGTTCTAAATATCAATCTGATCAAACCGTGAATTTTTAAAGGCAATTAAGAAGTCTTATCGCTTTATTTTGATACGCACGACAGACAAAAAGAATGTGTTCGCATTCATAGGCGACTATTTACAAGAGATTCAGAAAATCTTCCTAATTCATGATGAAATTGTCAATAGGCCTGGCGATAGATTTTAGAATTTCTCTTGTACTTCGAACATTTATATGAGAGGATAGTTAGAATCATTCTTAATTCGACGATTAACACGACTTTGATATAGTGGTACAGAAATAACGTCAGCAAAGCTATTATCACATGCTGCTCGTTTTTACACGAAGACTATCAATCTTACAGCCAAAGCCAAACTAAAACATTTTTCATAAAGGCGTGATGGTATTCCGTAACAGAAGCAGACGAGTGTGCTTATGATTTTCTAGTGAGAGATTAGAATTGAGAAGCAAAGGATGACTTCACCACTTCCCAGCTTCAGTCTTACATCTCAGAACTATTTCTACTTTCATCCCGCTCACGCATGCGATTTCCTGATTTGCCGATCTTGGCCAAGTTCGCCGTCCACAACCAATCTCGAACCGTAATTCGAGCTGTGTATGTCTGCGAAACAGATTGTAGTGTTCCTTTCAATTAAATTTCAATGACACAACTCTATCATTACAGTTCCACATCATCGCAATGGTTATGAATGCCAGAAATGGTTATTCACGAAAGATGAAACAAAACGGGCTTTTGAGACTCCTTCTTATTTCAACTAGTGATGGCATAACCTGAAGAACACTGAGATTTCAAAAAAGCTACCTCCCCCGATACGATATCCGATCATCTCGTTTTATAATTGAATATAAATGAGCTTTCTCCTATGATGAGACGAGGAAAATTATAAAACACTCACAAATGCACCAGACACCTCAGAAGCATGCTGACTTCTACATATCTTTAGCTAATAGAATTTTTTTTTCACTTATAGTTTCTAACAACACGTTCGTCACTGCGCTTGCTTATGCAACTAGCAGCAATCCATACTCAGTGGCAGTCGTCGATGTCAATGATGACAACAAATCTGATATAGTCACCGCTAACTATGGCGCAAGTACTGTCAGTGTTCTTCTTAATAATGGCAATGGAACCTTTTCTTCTCAAACTACTTATGCAACTGGCACTCAACCACAATCAGTGGCAGTCGTCGATGTCAATAATGACAACAAACCCGATATAGTTACCGCTAACTATGGTGCAAGTACTGTCAGTGTTCTTCTTAATAATGACAATGGAACCTTTTATGCTCAAACTATTTATGCAACTGGCACTCAACCATACTCAGTGGCAGTCGTTGATGTCAATAATGACAACAAACCTGATATAGTTACCGCTAACAATGGCTCAAACAATGCCAGTGTTCTTCTTAATAATGGCAATGGAACCTTTTCTTCTCAAACTACTTATGCAACTGGGATTTATCCACAATCAGTGGCAGTCGTCGATGTCAATAATGACAACAAACCTGATATAGTGACCGCTAACGCAGGTACAAGTACTGTCAGTATTCTTCTTAATAATGGCAATGAAATCTTTTCTGCTCAAACTACTTATGCAACTGGCACTCAGCCAGTATCAGTGGCAGTCGTCGATATCAATAATGACAACAAACCCGATATAGTCACCGCTAACTTTGGTCCAAGTACTGTCAGTGTTCTTCGTAATAATGGCAATGGAACCTTTTCTTCTCCAACTACTTATGCAACTGGCATTCAACCACGATCAGTGGCAGTCGTCGATGTCAATAATGACAACAGACCCGATATAGTTACCGCTAACTATGGTGCACGTACCGTCAGTGTTCTTCTTAATAATGGCAATGGAATCTTTTTTTCTCAAACTATTTATGCAACTGGCGCTCAACCACAATCAGTGGCAGTCGTCGATGTCAATAATGACAACAAACCTGATATAGTCACCGCTAACGCTGGTTCAAGTACCGTCAATGTTCTTCTTAATAATGGCGATGGAACGTTTTCTTCTCAAACTATTTATGCAACTGGCAGTCAACCATTCTCAGTGGCAGTCGTCGATGTTAATAATGACAACAAATCCGATATAGTCACCGGTAACTATGGTGCAAGTACTGTCAGTGTTCTTTTTAATACAGGTACTGAGACCTTTTCTTCTCAAACTACTTATGCAACTGGCACCCAACCATACTCAGTGGCAGTCGTCGATGTCAATAATGACAACAAACCCGATATAGTTACCGCTAACAATGTTGCAAACAATGTCAGCGTTCTTCTTAATAATGGCAATGGAACCTTTTCTTCTCAAACTACTTACGCAACTGGCACTCAACCACAATCAGTGGCAGTCGTCGATGTCAATAATGACAACAAACCCGATATAGTTACCGCTAACAATGGCTCAAACAATGTCAGCGTTCTTCTTAATAATGGCAGTGGAACCTTTTCTTCTCAAACTACTTATGCAACTGGCTCTCAGCCACGATCAGTGGCAGTCGTCGATGTCAATAATGACAACAAACCCGATATAGTTACCGCTAACTATGGTGCAAACAATGTCAGTGTTCTTCTTAATGATGGCAATGGTACCTTTCTTTCGCAAGCAACTTATGCAACTGGTACTCAACCACGATCGGTGGCAGTCGTCGATGTCAATGATGACAACAAACCTGATATAGTCACCGCTAACTATGGTGCAAGTACTGTCAATGTTCTTCTTAATAATGGCAATGGAACCTTTCGTTCTCAAACTACTTATGCTACTGGGATTTATCCACAATCAGTGGCAGTCGTCGATGTCAATAATGACAACAAACCCGATATAGTCACCGCTAGCTATGGTGCAAGTACTGTCAGTGTTCTTTTTAATACAGGTGCTGAGACCTTTTATGCTCAAACTACTTATTTAACTGGCAGTCAACCATGCTCAGTGGCAGTCGTCGATGTCAATAATGACAACAAACCCGATATAGTTACCGCTAACTATGGTGCAAACAGTGTCGGTGTTAGCTTACACTGCTAAGCACAGACGGGGTATTCTTAGGAGTGATAGTTTCAGTAACATTTTGGAGTAGATGACAATATTTGCTGATGATTCGTACTCTATGCTATGACAAAAAGTTTTACCAAGAAAAACCTTTTTTTGCTGTTGAAGAAATAAATTATGCTTAACATATGTCGGGCGACGGTGGATATTTTATAGATTGAGATAGCTTTGAATAAAAGTTTGAACCTTTGCAAACGTCTAAATCATCGAGCAGGATTTAGATGCTGTTTAGAAATTCAAGAAGAAGAAACTATAAAGATTTCAGCGGAATGTCACCAGATTGTCTAGTTTGTTTTAGAAGTCGAGTGAAATGACTTACGCACTTTAGATGAATATTATGTGAAACAGATATCAGTGAAAGTTTGGACAATCATACTCACATGCGGTTGTCTACGATCTCTTTGGTATGGTATAATATGCTCACTTTTATGGAAGAAGTCAATTGATTTTGTTATTTCTGCTGTAATTTAATTCTGTATTGTAGATTTAGATACTTGTAAAAAGCATTCTTATCGCCTCCATCAATTTTCTTGATTAATAGAAATCATCAACAACCGCTTGAAGTGCATTAATTATGAAATATGACATAGCCATCATTTGGTCTCTACTAACACTATTCTTCCAGCAGATTTTTGCTCAATTTAGCAGCGTTTTCTCGACGTGGGTGTATCGATAATAAAATCTATACTAACAGCAAATCTTTATAAATAAGTAGTAGTCGTCGCAAAAACCGCTTGCAGAATACTCTCAAAGATTAAAAATCCATGATGCACACTTAGTAAAAGTACAAGAAAACCAAATTGAACTGGGAAAAGAATTGTAATTTACACAACGAGCTCTTAATGTTTCGATTTCAGTTTTAAATAGTCACTCTGAGGATATTAATAATCTTAGGGAGGGTGTTGAAAAACTACACCTCCGTTTTCAACGTCCATTTCTCTACTTAGCAATGACATAGATTTTTCGCAATGGACATACGCTCAGCTTTCTCTATAACCACAAGATCTAAACAGTGTAATATATGACGTGTTACGACAGGGAAATATGACATTTAATTCTCAGCATAGATCGATCCCCTTAGCTCAAATCGTAACAGATTTTTTACTCCGTCAGCAGTTCCGCTTCGTTCCAAGCTCTCAATACACACCAACAGATCCGCTTGAAATTGATCGTCTTGTTATTACTAAGTATTACTTTTATTGTCAGCTACCGGACCATACTGTAATATTGAGTGTGTAATTAACAAGTAACGCTCTTCCTTTGGATTCGCTGACCCTTTTCTGAAAGACTTTTCCGAATGCTGAACACATTCACAGACTTTGAAAGAGAAAAAACGCACTGCGATTACTACTAGTGCTCAACTGAATCATGTCACTATGTCACGCACTAGAACTGGAATGAATAGGATACAGAGGTCTCTTTAGGAATCAGACCGATTAGCCATTTGTCAGTGGATAATTCTCCAGCACTAACTATATTGACTGAGAAATTCATCACTCAACGGCTACTCACGGCCAACCATTGACTTTGTCATCTGTTTTTCTTTTTTCACATCACGCGCATGGAAATTTTCATAAATGCTTTACTAAGTCACTCACAGACGGACGATATACAGTACACTACTTGAAAAGTTTGAACATTCGCCTGTGTTTTCCAGCGATAATCCGATTCTTTTCTCTCCTGTCAACAAAATGATACCCTGCCATATATTTTCATTGAGGAATATCCATTCGTCAAATCCCTTTCAAAATTATCTGAAGCCTGGCAAGGCTATTCTAAGCGTACACTTTAGGATTAATCTAGCATTTAAACGCCAAGTTGTTCGTCGAACTCCTTCCGGTCGGTCACTCACGGCTAGCCGTTGACGCACATGATCAGTTTTCATAGTTTTTCCATATAAAGAAGTAGCTCGATCATACTGACTCGATCTCTGATCGAAGTTATCAAAACCCTTCGTAACTGTGTAGTTTACAGTACATATTCTATTGCTCTGTTCAATTTGTAGCGCTGATAATGTGTAATCCCTATTCTCGAAGCTCGAAAGTACATAAATTATGTTCGTTCAAAAACCATTGATTTTCGTTGAGACAGTGATAAATCTCATCTTCCAAGTAATTTTCAAAATAAACGTCTAGTCGTTCGTCGACCTCCCTCCGGTCGGTCACTCACGGCTAGCCGTTGCCATGCTGTCTCTGTTATTCCTTTCGCCTTCGATCGACTTTCAAACTGAACGATTGGGTTTTCTTTTATTGTCGCTTCTACAGTCATGATCTCCTATTCATTCGACTACCCAAAGAAACTAGATAAGAAATTCTTATTGTATGATTCGCTTCGAAGCCAACATCTTTCATAGCGCTGCATGTGTTCAGAATACTGTTTCTACAGTCCACGCGTCTGTAATTACTATGATGGAACTCCACCGACGGGTATATCACTTTGTGAACTACTTCTACTAAATTCCCATAAAAAGACATGATGTATGTAGCCTAAAAAGCAAAGATGATACTAAGCCCACATCACTTTTTCGGATTTCATCAATTAGAAACATCATTATGTACAATGCATTAGATATTTTCACGTAAGTTCTTGAGCTACTATCTTTGTACACATGACGTCGGTGAATAGCGTTCAGCTCACCATCTTCTACAAAAGATTTTAGAACAGATAAAGTAAAATATCTCCTTTGTAAAGAGGCAGGAACAAGCCCAGGCTCAGCGAATAAAACGAAATTCGCCCTCAAATTCGAATTTCTCGACGTCAGAAATCCTTCGGTCTACTCTGAAAATGGATGTTAATAAGTCGTGGCTAGTTAATGAAAAATTAATAATTAATTAAGAAACACTAACCTCAGATTCGTGATCCTCGACCCCGATTACCCTTCGGTCAACCCTTACTCGACAACGAAGAAAACTTTCATTACTTAATTAGCTAATGAGCTAATGAGCTAATTAGAATTTTGAAAAACTAACACCGGATTCGAGATCCCCGACCCCGATTACCCTTCGGTCAACCCTTACTCAACGACGAAGAAAACTTTCATTACTTAATTAGCTAATTAGCTAATGAGCTAATTAGAATTTTGAAAAACTAACACCGGATTCGAGATCCCCGACCTCAATTACATATGATGAGTCATTCCCGTATGGCAATCGTGAAGTTTTCTTTGAGTTGTCAAATGCTGTAATCTGATTGGCTTGGACAGACAGACAGACAGAAAGACAGACAGACAGACAGACAGACAAACTTTTAGCTTTTCGAGCCGTCGATTTAATCGCTGTATAACCCTTTCTTTCAGAAAAGGGAACAAATCAAAGAATGCGATGAAAAAATGGCTGCGAATCGTGCTGGTATCAAATCTTGTAATGCGATCCTCGAACGCGAAAGAATGAAACGTCAAGTTGGAATGAAAAAACTGGCTGAAATCGAGAAAAAGATCGAAGCAGCAAAATTAAAACGTGCACGAATCGATGCATTTTTCAATAATTTGATTGAAAAAGAAAAAGCGAAGCGAAGTGAAATTGACAAAGTTCAATGGTAAGTGAGGTATTTTTAAAATTCAAATCTTAAACTTCGTGTGCTTTAGCTCAAAAGTTTCATTGAAGAAATCATCGAGGAAACGATTAAACAACAAAGGTGTAAATACAAGACTTAAACAGACGAAAGGAAAAAATTGAAAAGATTTCATTTGAATTTCATTAATAAAACTTTCGAATTGTGTATGAAATTCGATAGAGCGGTTATGTCGTATTTTTCTGATGAGTGATGAGCAATGGCAGTTGGATAGAACATATAATGTTTGACGACTTTATTTAATATGCAAAGTGGAAACCGTAAAGAGTCGTTGTCGAAACTCGATCTAGGCAGAAAATGTTGAATGTATGAGAGAAAACTTGTTGGTAAATGCATAATAGTTTGAGTATGAAATGACGAAAATAGATACGTTTCGTAAACTAGTGTTTGTGTGAAGGTCCTCTAACAAATACGGAGAAATTTATTACTACTGTGGTCGATGTAACGGTGTGTGTGATTTTATACAACAATCATTGACGACTGTTTCAGTTGGCACTTATTTGATCAATTATTTTCTCTCACAAACTACCTTTGTGGTATCCATACCGAAACTGCAAGTGTCATAGTTACATGTTTATAAACTCAACTATTCTGACTGGATTCGTTCTTTCTATTCTCATTATATATACAATTTGATGTGTATGTTGATAACAAAGGACAGAGGACATGATACAAAGATAAGAAAACGAAACGACAAATTATTTCATACTTTACATGTCACATTTTTTGTCTTTATTTAAAATTCATTAACGATGGTGTTTGTTCCACAAACAAGTCGACCATATCTTTTCAAAAGCTTTGTTTTACTCATTGTTTTCTTGTTGATATATTTTTTCATGTTAAAACCATCCAAAAATCGGATTGGTCTGTCGACAACTTCATCCTCACCCACATCCTCATCGATTCATTTAGTAACGGGTTTACTTGTCAACAGTGAGCACGCTTGGAATAAAAACGATGATCGTAAAAATGAAAGTGGTTCTTGGCTATTAAATCCATTCTTCGATCGTCTCAATAAAACTGTTTACATTTCAGATGTTTTAATAACAGAGAAAAATATCGTTTCTTCCGTAATATTAAATCGATATGGAACACAAACGTGGCAAAACTATCTTTTAAAATCTTTATCAAATCGAGATGATATTGATCTAAGACCATTAGCTCAATATAAAAAAAGTCAAGAATGTCCGTATTATTTGACATATATTATCGATCATTATTACAATCTACCCGAGATAATTCTCTTTTCTCATGGTCGTCCGCAGGTTCATAACCCACACATTCTCAAACATTGGTCGTGGTTTATTGATCGAGTACAACAAGATATCGATCACCATTTTTTCAATGCCTCTGTCGGTTTTCTCAGTTCTAATTGTGGTATCTATGTAAAAAGATTCGTACGAAGTCGTCCTATTCTTGATTTACTTGGCTATAATCGATCAATGAATCCATTCGCGAATCAAATTCGAGTATTATCTGTGGGCACTTATTGTTGTGCACAATTTATCGTTCATCGTTCTCGTATTTTACAACATTCGATCTCATTCTGGCGTTTGGCCTTGAAAATCTCTATCGACATGAACGATTGTTCCCATTTTGAGCACTTATGGCACATATTCTTCGGTGAATCTGATGAACTTGATCCAAAGAAAAGTCTCGCTGTATGGTATGAAGATGCACATTCTCATTTCAATGAATATTGCCCAATAAAAGTTCTTGACGAATAAAACGAGAATTTCATTCAATCTTTATTCCAACAAACTTTAGAAAAAAACATTTTTTAGTAAAAGTAAAAGTAGAAAATTTAAAGAGATACATTTCCCAGTCGACACACTTCCAGATGTTGTTTGTAATAAAACATTTTCATCAATAACAACGTTAACTGATTCCCAATGATGGAAATTATCTTCTTCATTCGATAACATATCTTTTGTACAATATTCATTCTCTGTTCCACTTTCATGACAATTTTGCTCAGTAGATTTCATTTCCTCAGACGAATTCAATTCGCTCTTAATCGTAGAATCGAACATATCGTCAAACGAATAATGAAATAAAGATGAATTTCTTGAGACACGCCACGATTGCCCATATTCAAATAACATTTGTTCATCACTTTCATTAATTGATATTCTTGTACCATTTGGAAATGTTAAACCATTGACATCACCTAAGAGACCATAGGATGGAGTGGATAATTTATTGAATTTCTCTCGTTGAACTAATGTTTCCAGATCGAAAAAGTCAAATGTTGGACGAATGGTTACACGAAGTCGAAAATGAGCTGTTGGAAAAGAGATTTTAAATGCTCCATTTGCTTTTCGTTTAATTTTGATAAATTCATCTTCATAGATCAATACTGCTACGGCAAATTCTTCGTGAGGTACTTCGATTAATTTGGTATCGATACGAATCTCACAAGATTGATACTTTGAGAATAATTCAAATTGAACACGTCGTTTTCCTTGTAAAAATCCAATAACAAAGGCCTCAATTCCAACATTTCCATCATTTTCATTCGATGAAAGACGGATTTGGATTTCTTGTCCATTGAAATCTGGTAAAGCTAATAAAGTAAATTCACCTTGTCCTCGAAAGGCATAAACGCTTCCATTCAAAGTTGCGAAATACGGATCTCCATGTTTCTCAATCGATTCCGATTCGAAATCTTCGCATCGTCCTGCAGGTCGATATTTATAATATTCTTTACACATTTCTTCACTAATCAACAGACTTCGACAACACGACCAATAAGAAAGAAAATCGGAAAAGAAATGTCCGAACATACTTAAACTTTTCTCCAACCAACTATTGGCGTCCGGTGAGACAACATCTAACGTTCCAGCACCTTCATTTCCTTGTTCAATAAACTTTCCGTGTTCATCATAACAACATTGTGCACCAGCCCAAGTCGTGTCCGATTTTTTCCGATAACAACCTCGTGCTTTCCGATGATATGCACAAGTTTTTTCGATTGGTTTTCTTGCGTCACATCCTTCATCGATTCGAAATCCGTGAAATTCTTCTGGCCAAGGTTGTGTTGGCATCTGACAGGGACAAACAGGAACTTGTTCAAGATATTGTCGAGGATCTGTTTGAAGTAATAACCAAGCTGGACAATATGCTGCATTCAATGACGTGGCAGCAGTGAAGATTTTCGCACCGACGAACAGAGCCGAACGAAGCCAACCGGGTTTGTGTTTCATTTCAAAGGAAATTTGTAGAGCATGAACACGATCGTTTGGATCAGTGTTGACTGAAAAAAGACTATCGTAACGAACCGTTAGATTTCCTATCGATGAAAGATTAAGGTAACCTAAACCTAAGTCAATCTTTTGCCGAGTACGATTGTAAAGTGTTTGATTGTTCGAAGAGAATTGCGTGGCATAATCATAAATGACGATTTTAAAAAGATACTTCTTCGTGATTTCATTCGATTGAAATTCCAGAATTAACTCTTCGTTATTTGGATCAGCTATTTGATGTGTTAAATTGATGTAATTCTTCAAAATTAATTCACCATGATCTTCGGGAACATGAGCGAGAAAATTCGTCGTATCAACAAGTTTTTTCTCTTCATTGTCAAATAATTCTATTTTGATTTTTCCACTGTCCATTAACATTGGCATTGTACAAACAATATAAAGTGAATTTAATACGCGACAATTATCTACAACATGATTGTCAACCCGAATTTCATATGTCGATCGCTTAAAACAAATTCCATGTAAACGAAACTCATATCCACCATAGATCGAACCACGAAATGGAGAAACTTGTAAACCAGTTGATGTTTCACATTGAATATCATTGACATGTCCGGTCGTATGGAAAATGAATTGACCTGGAATGCCAATGTTGGAATCATTAACAATACTAAGAATTTGTGGTGAAAGTGACTTTTTTAATTGATAATAATTAACATTATCACCCGCATTGAATCCAATACGAGCGTGATTACCAGTTGAATCTTGTGACCATTCTAATTGATGATAAGTAAATAATGTAAATGAGTAAAATCCGTTGGTTGTTAAGATAGCTTGGTATGTATTTCGATTGATTTCGTTTTTTATGTCAGGGAGATCGTACCAAGTGACAACAAACGCCCAGAACATTCGTTGAGCAGCTAACTTAGGAAAACCAGTTCGAAGGATTTTTGTTATTTGATAAAGAGTCTGGGGTTCGGTTTTTAAAAGAATTTCTCGGTAGAAAATGTTCTTTAATGTCTCATATGTGAAATTTGTGTTGATCCAAAACGGAGCCACGCAAACTAAATCTTGAAATGGAAATGGATCTGATGATTTGTATGACAACGAACATGTTTCATTTCCAAACATAATTAAACCATGACTTGAGATACGAAGTTCATCATAAAATTTGTTAAAGAATGAATATCGAACAGATAAAGAGATTGGCTCAGTGACGTAATTGAGATCATTTTCTAAACTTTTATCATTATGTTCAATGCCGAATGGAACAAAATTCTTAATATCGACGCAATAAATTAAATATAAGAGATGAAATAATAAATAAAGTCTAAACATGGTCTTTGTATTGTGAATGGTGATAACATCATCGTCTTTATATACTTCTTATCAATGGATGTGCTTGTGTAAACTTTTACCTTTATGTAATATTAATGTCCTGAAAATGAGTCATTATTTTCATGAGTAAAATGAATGGTCATTGAGTGAAAATTCACTCGATAAACTTTGATAAATGATGAAAAAAAATTGAATTATCTATACTCTACGATAGACAAAAGAGACACAAAGGAACAATATTTTGAGTGGATTGTATGTTGATAAGCCACGCTGAACTTGACACTGAGTAAAGAAAAGGAATTCAAATTAGGAATTGGATCATATAACCAGTAAGAAGGCAACCAAATGACAAATGTGTTCACATACAAAGATTTTATCGATTCGCCTATGATTCTATGTCTATACATTTTCTTTCCTTCGCCTGTTCTCCATTGACGTACGTTTCACATGACATAAGGACGACACAGAGAATCAAACCTATCACATACGTCAACTATCTCAGAGAAAACAGCGCATTTCATCGTCGAGAATAGATGATTGATATCACAATGAAAAATATCCTAGAGAGCTATGTTATGCTCGTGTGTGTGTGTGTGTATAGTATCGATGTAGACATAGCCCAATAGCGCAAAAGAATCGTTCTAGTCGCTCGTTCTCTCTTACTGCGCCATTTATATACTTCTATTACTAAAGATTATCATGCAAGAAGAGGAAAAAGATCAAGCGCAGTCTTTGACTATTTAATCAAAAGAGAGGAAGAGAATCCAATTTCTTTCATATTACTAATAAAAGAACAGCAAAAAATCGCAAGAGTAAGTAAAATCATATCGACTAATGTGTTCTTTCTTGTTCAAGCCAAGTGAATATTTTTCACTATTTATTTCAACTATACAAAAATACTTTCAAAGAAGGTCCTTATCATATTTGCTTTTTACAATTTGAATGTTGTCTAACATAGATCCACTTGTTATTGTATAAAGGAACCAGCGGAACATTCTTTTTCTTCTCATTTTCAAACATAGAACATCCTAAGAATGAATAATAAAAGTGTCAACAAAACTACTTCAATATTTTTTTAAATAATAGACAAGATAGTAAAAACAATTGAAAGCACTTCAACACGGTAAAAAGTTATTGAAAGTAGCAAAGTCTGTCTTTTTTCCTTTAATAGACATCAGAAACTAATTGTCAAATGTCTTTCTTCCACATATCAAAAGAAAACGTTCTGCTGTGAGTGTTGAAAACATAAAATAAATACATTGAGAAATTAATTTATTGTTGATCCGATCAGAAAGGTTGGATGAACACCAGTAGAAGAAAATTTCTCGACAAAATTTCAATAAAATAGCATCCGATGGAGAATATACGACGTTAATTACTTTTTCGTCTGTTACATAATCTCTACAAAGCAGCGTGTAGTCAGACACATTTTCATCTTTGAAAAGAATCCATCTATAGATAAGAGGTTTTATGTCTTTTTCTTGTTCTGTTCTTTTTCTCCTTCTTTTTTTACTTATTTAAGAAGTTTTTTTCTTCATCAGCCTAAGCCAGATTTTGCCACGTGACAAAGAGGAACAAATAAATTTTCTTCTTCACACATGCCGTCTCGGTCAGACATTATATTCATAAAATACTTTACGATTCTTTCAGATTAAGCCTATGATCTACTTCTCAAGAAAATTATTCGCATTTCAATGCCTTTTAAACAACTTTATGTTCCGTTTTTGCGTCAATATCTACGATTTCCCTCATTGTCTATTAAACTTCTTCTATTCATAACCATTTTCATATTTCTCATCGGCACCAAACAAATCTTTTCGAATAAAACTTCTTGGTGTAATCCAGAACAATCATTGTGGTGGTTTTGTCCATGGCCAGGACCAGAAACAGTGTGTAGTTGGGACGAGCATTTCTCCAAAGCAAATCCAAACAATCGGTATGGCTATCCACTGATATATCGAACATTTTTACCTTCTTATTTATTATTCATTTCAGATCTCCAGCATCCTATCACAAAGTTCTTCGCTCTCTTCCAAAACGTCGTTCGTCTTTCCTCTTCAACAACTTAACTCTAACTCAGTGTAACGAATCTTCTCTCGATTTACTCATTTTTATCATTTCCAAATGTTCTCACGGTTCCATTCGACAATCGATTCGACGAACCTGGGCTAATCAACGCTTACTACAACAGTTCTTTCCTGATCTTCACATCAAACTATTGTTTCTACTCGACAATGACCCGCATTCAACACCAAAACTCGTTCTTGAACATCAGTTTTATCAAGATCTCGTTCAAGTCACCAATCTTCCTGAACAGTATGACTATGTTACACAGCGCGAATCAGCTCTCTACGAGTTCGTTGTCAATCGTTGTCAACAAACAAGATTTGTGTTCAAAACTGACGATGACATCTTCATCAACACGATTCTCCTATTGTCAAAAGTTCAATCGTTGACGAACAATGCCAAAATGAAAGATAAAACGACAAACAAGTACCTAATGTTTGGATTTCCGATCGAACATGGCTTAGTTGTTCGTCATAGTGCCGATCAAGTTGGACAACGATATGTGATCACAAAAGATGAATATTCATGTCCAAGATATCCCACATTTCTGTCCGGTTTCGGTTATTTGATGACTGTGGAAACGTGTTCACTATTGTTCGATGCTTATGTAAGTGATGAAAGACCATTTCTCCTGTCCGATGTTTATTTCACTGGACTATTGGCTGAGATGATGCAGATTCCACGAATGAAGATCATTGAAAACGTGAACTATCGATATGAAAGTCAATGTAATGAAGAGTTCTTTCGTGAGAAAGAGAACAGTGCATTGGCATGTGCAGCATCGAATGATCATTTTGATGTAAAACAGTCGAAGGGTGGTGATCGAAGCTTGATGAATGACTATAATCGTTACTGGACAATGTTAATCGAACGACATCGTACATCTATGAATAGTAAAAGATGATAGATTTTTTACACTTTGTTTAAGAAAATAAAATAGAAATGTCTGTGTTAAGAATGACTCATATTGTTACTGAGAGAGTTTTGTTCTTGTCGGAAACTTTCTGGCTAGGAGTGGCACTTTATTTTTACTTTACTGAGTAAAGTAAAGTCAGTTACTTTACTTTATTCAGTAAAGTATCTCGGCTTTACTTTAGTTTATTTTTTCAGAGTGGAATAAAGTTAAAGTGCCACGCTTATTTCTGCCGCAATATATTTCTTGTTGTTTAATGTATAATTAAGATTGAAGAAAGGCATGAATGTACCCGTCGATGGATTGACGCTCGTTGCGTGCTTGTTAACAGTAGGAATTGAATCCATCAATAATGTTTTGATCGATTGGTGATTTATTAATGAATAACACGAAAATTCTCCGGCTCTTGTTTATTGCGCTTTGCATTACACACGTATTGTTTGTCAAGTATCACCAAATGATGCTGCATTATTTCAATTAGAATAGCGTATCCTGTGTATATTCGGGGTACCAAATCTTCTGTGTGTTTGAAAAAGACGTCACGAAACACCGAGGGGCGCTTACTAATTCTTTTCATTCGTTATGTTTTGTCATACGTTCCTGTTAATGATATAATAAAAAAGCCTATATTCATGACCGTTAAGATTCAATGATGAAAGAGAAAAAGAAAAAGAATTCTTCTGGTAACTAAACAACTTTATTTTATATTTCTTCTGTCTACAGAAAGGTTTTGAAAAGAGTGAAAAAAAGTTCATAGAACGATGAAAATTCTTCTTTTTCTTCTTCCACTCAAAACATTCTCCCATTTCGAACACTTCGGAGCTCACGTGAATTCTTTTTTTCTATTTTAGATATGCACCTATGAAACTATATGATCATGTTCTATAAAATGGATACATTAACATATGGCAATGAAATGTAATAAATTGTAACGTTACCGATAAGGGCTAATAAAACGATCGATGTTTTTTTCTCTCCTGACATAAAAGGTCCGAGTCACAACGTGAGATAGATCGAACTTTTCTATCGGAATTTTAATTCTCAATGCCAATCATACTTCTGTAGACGACCTTTTTTCTTCAAGCGCATGAGTTTCCCGAGGAAGAATGTCCTGTCGTATGGGCACATCATAAGAAAAGTCTTATTCAAGCGCATGACGAAAAAATTCGACTAGAGTTGTTCTTTGATATTTACTCTATTACTTCAATGACACCCAACTTCTTTTTTCTTTTTAGTTAAATATTTACTTTCGATAAAAAAACGGTTTCTCTCCATGCTTATTTAGCATTTAATTTCACGTATGAATATCTTATTTCGTTGCCATCAGAGCAGTATTGAACAAAGCCTAACATGATATTTACGGTATTCGTTGTTCTCCGGTGTCCATGAATGTTTTTAATCAGAGGAGAAAAAGAAAGTCTTTTATACCAATGTCATTTTATTTCAATCAACGTTATCGAAGTTTCTCATTATTGAAATTCGTTCTCTTAGTCATTTCTCTGCTACTTCTGCTTGTTTATTTATTTATTTCCAATTCTTCCGACCCGATATGCGATCCCGAACAACATCTATGGTGGTTTTGTTCATGGCCAGACCCTAAAACCACAGTTTGTCCATGGAATGATCATTTTTCTACCTTATCAAATACGATTGGGTAAATTTTCTCGTTTCTTACCTTTTAATGCAATCCATGTAGGCAGCAATTACATGAAAATGCAACCACTGCCTACATGGGAAACGATAAATTTCTTGTTTACAACGTAAATTTACAAAAAAATCATAAGTCATTGCTAAAAGTAATGAAAAACTAATAGTGTCTCCAAATTTCACTTTTAACCAATTCATATCACAGTTAAAGTTTTCATTCACAAAATCAATCATGAATTGGTACTTCTTCTAGGACGCCTCAGGCTTATCACAAAGTTCTTCGGTCTCTTCCAAAACGTCGTTCGTCTTTCCTCTTCAACAACTTAACTCTAACTCAGTGTAACGAATCTTCTCTCGATTTACTCATTTTTATCATTTCCAAATGTTCTCACGGTTCCATTCGACAATCGATTCGACGAACCTGGGCTAATCAACGCTTACTACAACAGTTCTTTCCTGATCTTCACATCAAACTATTGTTTCTACTCGACAATGACCCGCATTCAACACCAAAACTCGTTCTTGAACATCAGTTTTATCAAGATCTCGTTCAAGTCACCAATCTTCCTGAACAGTATGACTATGTTACACAGCGCGAATCAGCTCTCTACGAGTTCGTTGTCAATCGTTGTCAACAAACAAGATTTGTGTTCAAAACTGACGATGACATCTTCATCAACACGATTCTCCTATTGTCAAAAGTTCAATCGTTGACGAACAATGCCAAAATGAAAGATAAAACGACAAACAAGTACCTAATGTTTGGATTTCCGATCGAACATGGCTTAGTTGTTCGTCATAGTGCCGATCAAGTTGGACAACGATATGTGATCACAAAAGATGAATATTCATGTCCAAGATATCCCACATTTCTGTCCGGTTTCGGTTATTTGATGACTGTGGAAACGTGTTCACTATTGTTCGATGCTTATGTAAGTGATGAAAGACCATTTCTCCTGTCCGATGTTTATTTCACTGGACTATTGGCTGAGATGATGCAGATTCCACGAATGAAGATCATTGAAAACGTGAACTATCGATATGAAAGTCAATGTAATGAAGAGTTCTTTCGTGAGAAAGAGAACAGTGCATTGGCATGTGCAGCATCGAATGATCATTTTGATGTAAAACAGTCGAAGGGTGGTGATCGAAGCTTGATGAACGACTATAATCGTTACTGGACAATGTTAACGGATCAATATGATGTGCTAAGAAATGACAATATCAAATAGAATTTGCTTTTGTTTAGTGCACTGGAGACTCTGTCGCTCGTCTGATAGAATCTAATGATAATAAATCTTTGCTTTGTTTCCATTTAAAAACCAATGTCGATTATATCAAATTTGTTGAAAACATGATCAAAGACAAGAAAATGTTTTAGAGAACCGAAGAAGCTATGTATATCGAGGGAATACTCGAATAAACAAGACAAATGAGAAGATGTTTTATTCAAATATTTGTATAGACGAACAAATATTCATTGCCTTTCTTTTTCTTCTTAGCACAACTTGCTGAATTCGTGTGCTTATTTCGATGTATTTCAGATATTTCGGATGGTACGGAATGAAGTAATGCAGGAGAAGAGGGGATTGTTGTACCTGTGACGTCATATTCAATCGAATGAAGTGTCTACAAAAGAAACGGTCAAATATTTGTTCGAAAGACTCGACAAATATTTCCAATTACATTCGAAATCAAATTGATTTTCGATGAAAAGTCTTTTTTTATCTTCTAAGAGGAATTGATCGTTGCCGATTGAAGCTTAGGCAATGAAATTCAATCTGCTGATTTGCTTTTTGAAATTTTCATTAAATCCTATGCTGAAAAAGAGACGCCCGCAAATTTTGATATACTAAGAAACAAATATCACAAATAAACTCAATGGAAACGAAAACAAATTCAAAGAAGAGATTCGCAAAGAAGAAGAACGACGAAAGTTTTGTTTTGTTTGAGCGATCAGATTTGATTATTTATGCAATTGAACTTCTTGATTAAATGACCATTTTTGACTTGGTTTATTTGTATCACATCGTGCTGAAAAAGACATTTTTACACCGAGATGTTTATCGAAAGTTTCGTATTTACCTAGAACAACGTCCGAATTGCCGGAAACGTGTAAACATTGTCCTTGATAAAATTCGTTTTTCAATTGTGAAGTCTAAAAGGCGAATTTTGCCATGAAAATCGATATGTGATTCAAAGTCAAACCTGTTGATCATATTCCCAGTTTTGTTGGTTTCGTTCATCATTGCATAGAGTGAGAATAATATCTTGATTCGATGCTTTCTCGGGATTTGGCTCAAGACATAATTCATCAAAATGAATTTTGTTCGATGTTGTGTACAAAAATATCTGCAAAAATCGACATTGTCAATCGGGAAAATGTATCATTTTCGTAACAAACCTGATTTCCACCCTCAGCATGACAAGCCTGAGCTGAAACTTGAGTATTCAAGCCCTTTGATATATCAGGACCTGTCATTGAATCTAGACAACGACGAGAACTGGTTGAAATCTAAAGAAAATATTCCCGTCCATGCATTTCCGAAAGAAAATTCCTCACCGATCCGATAAAACGATGATTGAACGGAAAATTCTTCAATTGAAACCTGTCTAGAAAATCTCGAAACGACGAACAATTCAATTTCTTTCGAAGTTCGATTCGACTTGAAACATCTCCTCCGTCAAGTCGTTTTATATCAGGATTAACTGCATAGATTAATTCTTTGTATTCATCTAACCAGACTAGAGCTACACGTTTGTAATTTTTGAATATTGTCACAAAGATTGATTCATGTTCGAGAAATTTGTACGGTGTTTCTTTGCGAAATACATGAGCAACATGCGAACACGGATGAATAACAATTCTTCCACCACACATCCAACATTTAAACGACATTTCACTAAGAAAAAAGATCAAAGATTCTTTCCAGAAAAGGAATGAAGGTTCTTCCTTACAGATTTTCACCACCCCAAATCTTAATTCCTTCATCATACATGCCCAATTCTTCGAAATAAAGACGATCAATTGCATAGAGACCACCAGCCATGGTTGGCGTACTGAATTTAATCGATAAAAAGCGACAAATTTTTTTATTTTTTCCTCTTACCTGATCGGTTGAGCATTGTTTGCAGTTAATCCTGGAATTTTCGACCAACGGAAAATCATTTTCCAGCTAAACGTTCCAAAAATATCCGTCGCTCCATGTAACAATTGAAATGCATCATAGGTCAACACATCAATTATCGGACAAACGATGGATGTTCTAAAAATAAAAGAACTTTTTTTTCTCAAATTGAAGTTAATTATGACATTTTCGTTCTGGTCTGCGAAGTGTTTGTCTTTTCACGGTCAATGAAATAAATTATTGTTAATTAAAAACGTCTCAGGGAAACGTAATGGTTGATTTCTACTTGACAAGAAAAAGGAAATATCCTAACCGATCTTTTTGAATTTCTTCAAGTAGATATAAAAGCCAACCGTTGAGAACTTCCACGTGTGAATCGAGAAACATCAATGTTTCACCAGTTGCAACTTTTGCCGCTAAAAATCGAAGAAACAAAGCCATCGTTCGTCTTCACCACTCGATATTTTCTTCTTACCTTTCACTCGAGAACTGATCAATCCTAAACGTTTTTCATTTTTAAGAAGAATTGTTCGTACTGGAAGTGTTTCAATAAATCTCTGCAATGGTTCATTTAAATATTCTGAAAAATCAAAAGTTTCCGAATAGAAATCTTCATTCAACTCGATTCACTCAAACCTCGATCAACACTGGCGTCATCCAGTAAAATAATTTCATGAATTAATCTCCAAGGTGTTCGGTTAACGATACTAACCAATGTTCGTAATAGAGTTGAGTTTCCTTCATTATGAAAAACAATTATAATCGATGTGTTCGGTAAATTGTGATTAAATTTTGAATGAGCTTTACAACTAAAATCAAGTCGAGATCTTTTCCTTGATTTTCCTTTCGAATGAAACTGCATTACTTTTCATTTCGTATGTCAGGCATTGCACGATCTAATGCGATTCGATCACTAACAGCGATATCAAACATATTTTCGGCAAATCGAGCTTTTGATTCTTCTAAAAGATGGTCCGGTGGAAGATAAGCTGACCCCATTTCTCCAGGCCAGTTCGGCGGATTGGAATTTATTATCGCAGCTAAAAGAATTCGTATAATTTGAAAAACAACTTCGCAAGTTTTGTTACATTCTTACATTCTTCGGGAACGATAAAATTATCTTGACAATCTTGGTCTTTCCCACACAAGTCTTTATTGTAAATATCTGTAAATTTCAACTTGACAGAATTTTTATCCGAGGATGACGGAGATCTGATCGGTGCAGATCCTACGAAGAAAAAATAGGATTAAATTAGGAAAAAGAACGAAAACTGACTTGGTTGGCGATAATGTTCTCCTTCCTGATCAGACTCGGAACAAAATCCGATCAACACATGACCAATTTTACAAAACGCAGCTAAATATAAACATCGAATTACTTTCATTTCACTCAAAAATTCTCTCGCTCTACTTTGAATAAGTCCAACTTGCGAACAATCAGACGCTGTTGATGAATTTCGATTCGTTGCATAAAGACTGACAAGAAGAATAATCAGCCATACCAATGATGTGATGAAAATCGAACGAAATCCACCAGACTCGTGTCGATTCGTTGGCATCGAGTCTTTTGTTGATGATGATTGTAACGTTGTAACACCTCGTCTTTTCATAGTAATTTAAATTATACTCGAGAATCAATTCAAGCAAATCATGGCTTTACTTCGGCGATGTAGGTTGTGAAGGAATGAAAGAAAAGAAAATATTTTTTGTGAAAATATCTTACTACCGTTTTTTCACTGAAGTTATTTCTGTACCAATCAGAATAGAAGAATACTTATTAAAAGAAATGAAGCGCCATCTTTTCTTTTTGTTCGAACACTTTCGATTAATTAATTAGGTTTCTTCAGAGTGACTCTCATTCTGTACGAATATCTCGCGTATAAATAAAGATTCAGTTGTTTGGTATAACTTCGAAAATAAATTTCAAAGAACAAATTTGAAGATAATTGAATATACACTTCGAATATCATACATTTTCACGTTCTTCAATATACATAGAAAGGAATTTATTCTGATCGTCTTGCGTAATAATAACTAACATAGTATCTACTTTTCAAACTGGAATAGATATCTCTCATTTAACGACTATCATCATTATCTTTCATGGAACATTTCCTGCTGAGATCGTTAATAGTTTTCTCGATATACATCGACATAATCATCATTGGTTTTTCTTTCTGTGAGCTGAAAAAAAAAAGTTGTCTTTTCAAAGAATCTATCCTATGAGATTAAAACATCCCCAAAAAATGTGACTTTCTTTTCTTATCTGTCTAAACATGCGTATCTGGTTTAAGAGAAAATCGATATATATTTTCTAAGATAATAAATCTCCATGAGATGTGCAAATGCATTATGTATAGTTTAACACATGGGAAATCAGATGTCTCCTTGTAGTTTTTCCTCTCGTTCTAACTAATCAATCTGTCGATGAATTGATTCTTGTAAGCTGACCTGCTTTCTCCCGCAGATTTCTATTTGTTCAACTTGAACTCCTTGGTTATCAAGGTTTATTACCTAAATGATTCACCTTTCGGTTAATCCGGTTAGTACCATTTGTCTATGTCTGTCTTTGCATCAAATCTGATTTGATGTTAAAGAAACTTGTTTGACCATCAAAATCTTCTTTTCCCTTTCTTCTCGCAAAGAAGTAAATCCAATCAGCTTACAACATTTCGCTTAAAAAGGCTGTTTCCTCTCGGCTCACACATAAATAAATTGTTCGTTTGTATAGCCTTGATGAATATTAGTTCTATTTGTTGAACATATCTCTTGTGGTTTGAAAAAGAACTCTTTTTCTTTTGTCTTTGGAAAAACGTCAAGGTCAATTCTGTCTGAACATAGGCCAAGTCAATTGACTTCTTCGAATGATAACCTTGTCGGTTTTGAATGACAAAGTATTTTTCAAAGTCAATTGATCATTGATCGGAAAAGAACGATGAACTTGCCCGTCAATGAGGTAATCAAATCGAAAGATTTCCTTTTCTTCCTCTTTTTCTCTACACGCGTTTTCATTGCAATCATCTAGTTAACTCGATTCGTTTGTCGGCAAATCATTTGATAAAAATCACGTTCGTGTCAACAAAATAACAAATCAAAGTTACTCTCATTGTTTTGTTTGTTTAAAGATAATTGTCCTTCGATGAGAGAGACAAGTGGATCAATATCGACTAGGAGAGAATGATTATCATTCAATAAGCCAAAGAGAAAAAGAAAATAAGAGAAGAAAGAAAAAGAAGAAAAAAAAACTCTTCTCGTTCTCTCTAATAATTGAACAGAAGAAAGAAAAAGAAGCAATTAGTTGTCGTTCTTCTAGCTTCCTGAGTAGTAGTTGATCTTATACTTTCTAGAGATTCAATCTGATCATGTTTATCAAACTGATAATCTATTTTTCATTGATTCATTTCACATTATCCGATCAAAACATCCAGGCAAACATTGGTCAAGATATCACCATGTCCTGTTACTTCGATGATCCATCCCAACTCGATCAAGTAAGTGTTTCGTATTCGTTCATCTTCTTCAATTTCTCATAGACAACCTTCTCTCGATTTAATGTCCGTTTATTATGCTCAATAGAGCATAGATAATCAATTGATAGAGTAAAAGTTGATTGTTATTAGCATGTCGATATTCGTCTCATATGTAAAGGTCAGTCAGGTAGAGAGAGAAAATTGTTTTTTTCTCTTAGAAAAGCAGAACCGAATCAATATTATTGTTATCTGAAGGACACTCGACAAACTATTTTATGGGATGATGCCCTTAGACGAACAAAAGAGTACAGTGAACATATGTTCACTGATGAATCAGTGCGCTGAACCACTTAGGAAATCACTCGGTAGTTTTTTTCTCCTCCGGTTGAATATTTCTAGTCCAAACAAAGCACAATGATTTCTCCTTTTAGCTCTCATTTATGCATCAAACAACAGGTGATATTTTATCACTTGGTCTGGAATTATTCCTCGATGATTCTCTGGTAAATCAACGTATGCAATTGATTCCGTTCGGATCGAACCGTTTGGATTTGAAAATCTTTTCTGTTAATCAAAACGACTCAGGCCTTTATACATGTATGTTCAATGATGAAAAATTATCGTCATATCTTCTGGAAATCCTCAGTAAGTATTCTTAGACAAGAGTAAAACTCTCTCTCTCCTGTCATGTTTAGTTGACACATTGCGAAGAGAAAATGGCTCGCGCGATCGAGTTCTTCTTGTCAAAATATTTTACCTTGAAAGAAAAAGATAAGAAATCTTATGTAACAACGGTTAACATATCATTTCATCTGAATCCATACGAATGAGAAATAAATAATTGAGTATGTCATGAGGAGAAAGACAAAATGCGATTTTTAGTCGATCAAGCAGAAGAATCGATAGAACACATGTGTGTTAATCGAACTCAGTTAGAATACTCTCTTTTGCTTTTCTTAAATCAATTAGTTTTATTAGTTCGATTTCTCTTCAAGAATAACAAATCTTTTTCATATATTATTCTTTTTTTGTCGAAAAGGATATAAATAATAAATCTCTCTTCAGGATTATTTTTCCAATCTTTTCTCTTTGGCTAACCTTGACACTTGTTGTAATCAAATAGAGTAGATCAATAGAAACATAAGAAAGAGATGTGTAAGATTTGTCAAATCATCATTCCGACATGATCGTATCTAAAGAAATCAACGTCATCATGAGTTGGATCTGATTAACAATCAAAAGAATAAAAGATTTTCTTCAACAAAGGAGAGAAGATCTCGAAAATTAATCTTCTTAGAATTTCCGAAAGTAAAATCTGATTAAATTCTTTATATTTAGTTCCACCAACATTTCTTTCTTTCTTTCCATTGGAAGCAAGTGTGTCATATCCGGAAGGATCGTCAATAAATTTCTCTTGTCATGCATATGCTTCTCCTCCAGCGAATATCACTTGGATTTATCGAAATCAAAATAAACAATTTAAAAGTAATTTCATCAGGTCTTTTCGATGCTAAAAACTAACAAATCAACTGTTTTTTCGCCTTCAGATATTCAAAGTGGAGAAGACATTTATATCCCATCGGTCGAACCATTGGATAGTGGATCATATGAATGCATTGCATCCAATGGACATCATGAAGCAATTAGTCGGTCATTCTATGTCACTGTTCAATGTAAGTCGTCTGATCCGTTTGTCTGTCTAAAATTTCAACACAGAAAAAAATGAAGCTTTTCTTTCTTTCTAATCACACGTATTTTTTCAAATCTAATCTGATCAAATATGTTGTTAACACGATACAAAGGGAAAAGAAATCTTCTCTGAAAGATAATATTTTCATTGTTCAGATCCACCACGTGTAAAAATTGACAAATTTATCGATTTAAACCAACGACCAGTTGAATTTCAATGCGAAATCTGTTCAGTTCCCATCTCTCACATCGAATGGTTTCGAAATGGAAGACATATTCTCGATGAACAACATTTTCTCATCAAAACGAATTCCATTCGAACAGAAAACAAAGATTGTCTCACAACAACCTTAACATTTCAAGTAAGTTAAACTTCAACAAGAACATCTCAATCAAATTCTTTCCCAAACTAAGGATTCGATTCATGAAAAATACGGTCGATACGAATGTCGTGCTGAAAACATCCTTGGTCACCATTCTGATCATATCGATTATCAATCAAAAATAGGTAAAAAGCACTTTTTCGATCAAATTTACGCCTCCTTTTCATTCCATCCAGTTCCAATGCCCAAATCTCGAAACGAACAATCAGCATTGCTAATTCTTCCCAACAATACCATAGATCAATCGAGTAAAGGTTTTTTCTTCTTCTATGAATTGATCTGATTTGAATATTTAGATTCCTCGATATGTTCTCTACAAACGAATTCTCCACTACTAATCTCAATATTGATGATCGTTTTTAACAGTTTATCTCTGCTGTGAAGTTTAATCTGAGAATCATCCGGTGAATGAACCAAACCCAACGTCAGCTCGTTCTTTTTTTTTCTATTGTCAAACATTTGTTTGTTTGCTTTTTCTTATTTCTGTGTCGATTTTTATTTTATTTCTTTAATAACAACAAGAAAACAAAAGCAAATGTCAAACGATCACTTTGAAGAGAAACAAAAACACGAGAAACAGCGAGACAAATATTTGGTCCATAAATGTATTCAAATTTTCTTTCACCGGATGAAATTTTATGTCACTGATTAGAAAATAATCAATTGATTATACTGATCAAATCCAATATATTAATAATACAAGAAAATAGGAGAATCGATTCGCATTTCCCAATGACTTTGGTGTTTCTAAAACGAAATTTGTTATTCTTTTTAGGAAAAAAAATTGTTTGAATATATTTTTACCAATTCGAAGTATCGAATGAGTGTTATTGGATTGTTGATCTTTATCAATTAATAANATGTCACTGATTAGAAAATAATCAATTGATTATACTGATCAAATCCAATATATTAATAATACAAGAAAATAGGAGAATCGATTCGCATTTCCCAATGACTTTGGTGTTTCTAAAACGAAATTTGTTATTCTTTTTAGGAAAAAAAATTGTTTGAATATATTTTTACCAATTCGAAGTATCGAATGAGTGTTATTGGATTGTTGATCTTTATCAATTAATAAAGCTGTCCGTCCATTTCGATTAAATTCATTCGCATGATGTTCATAATGCTTTGTTTTGACAATTCTTGAACCTTTTAATAATTCAATGACAATCATTGATCACATTCAAATCAAATCAACGTTCTTTACTTTGTTCAACATCGACAAACACTGAATTCTTTCCCAAAATGTTCTCCGCTTGACATTCATATCGTCCAAATTGATATTCACTCAGATCCTATGAACCAAAACAAAAAAAAGAAACTGGTTGAAGAAAAAAACGGAATTAATTAACATACGACAATTTCCATAATTGTTTCCGAACATTGATGATCAATTGGATGAGTTTTTGTAAGAATATTAACATCATTGATGATGTGATCATGTCGAAGCCAATTTATCTGCATAACTTCGGGAATTGAACAAACACGACATTTAACGAGAACTGTTCCTTGAACATCACGCACGATTTTCTCGTTGAATATCATTAGACGAGGAGAATCTAAACAAGAGATCATGAAACTAATTAATTATCCAGGAGTTTGTCGGTTTTTCGCATTAGAAATGATGTAATCGAAGATGACCGTCTAATTGAATAGTGTGACTGACAAAACGGACGGAAGTACTTTCACAATCGATTGAGTCATTTATTCTTTGAAAGTTTTCATGCGAACAACGGAAACTTACATTGAACAGTAACATAAAATGAACGACTAATCGACGCATGAAAATGATTTGATGCAATACATTCATATGAACCACTATCTGACGGACGAAGTGAGGAAATATAAACACTTTCTCCATTTTGAATTGCTTGGAAATAAAATTTATAAAAAATGTTAATGAAATTTCTTTTCGAAATGAAATATTTACTTTTCGATTGTTTGTTATTATCTCGATAGATCCATGTTATATTTGCTGATGGAATTGCAAACGCTCGGCAAGATAAGTTCATCGTAGTGTTCTCGGCATACGACACACTTCCTTCAATTGGATAATACGATAAAAATCTCGGTGGGACTAGAACAAACAGCAAACAAGAAAGTTGAATTTCTCGCCGAGAGACATAATGTTGGTTATCTTATATAAGTAATATAATCTCGTTTGTTTTTTCTCTATATTGAACATAAATTGATGCAGACAAAAATGATTAACACATCATCTACGTAAGTTTATATGTCTCATGTGTGAAGAAAAGGTTAAGACACGAGTCGTTTTCTTTTTATCTCTCTTGTTCTCCTTCATCGTATCGATCACCATACGGATGGGTCATTAACGCTAATTTATCGCGATGCCTGTCAAGATTACAAAACGTGAACGAATCGCATTGCAATTAGCACGACAGGATTATCCATTCAACTGGACAATGTTCTAATCGTCTTAGTCGAATGCAGAATTGTTTTTCTTCTTTTCCGAACAAATTCCAAACAGATGAACTTGTCAAAATTCTCTTCGATTACATCACTTGCAAACTAATTCATTTTTCTTTCGAGAACGTACTTGAGATGAGAGACAAGAAATAATTTGACTTACCAAAGATTTCTAAGGAGAATGAAGTTAATTTCTCATCGTTTAACATACATGTGTAAATACCCGAATCATTTTGATTAACGGATATCAATTTTAAATCTAAACGATTCGGTGAGAATTTAATCAATTTAATATGTTGAATGGATGAAGATTCTTGGACAAATAATTCCGAACCGAGTGACAATATGTCACCTGTCATCTGACGCATAAAGGACACCTAAAATATCAAATATTTAACATTTCATCTTCGTCGCATTATCTTGATCAAAAAAAAAGAAAAGAGGCAAAGAAGTCAAATCGAAACAACCGTTCGGTCAATATGCTCTACTGATGTTCTTGAAAGTAACAATAATATTGATCGAACAAAGAAAACTGATGACTGATTCCAAAATGATGAAGAGCTCTTAGCAAGGCACCATATGATAAAAAAATGGTTTATTCTCGATTGAAGATGACCTATGTTTAGTGATCAATCTGTTAAAACAAGCTGATGCACGTTACGCTCGAATTTAGTGAACAAAACTCGTGTCAGTACAGTTGATTAAAAAGGAGAAAAGACAGTTTTACACCTATCAAGAACATAAATGATATATACATTTTGATTAAAATAATCCTCGGAGAGAAAATTGAGCGAAGAGAAGAGAGAAACATATATACAAACGATTGATCAATGAAGACGAGAAGAGTTTTGTGTCCATCTGGATAATCGAAAATCGATATAGACATCTACACACTCGTCTAATGTTCAACTAAACAATAAACAATGATCCGTTACACATATAGTTTAGATTTTCTTTGCCATATGATGAATAAAAACATAATGAGTCTGATGCTTTTCTTTCCTCAAAGAAAATCATCGCTTGAATAAACGATCGATTTTCTGCATCTATGACTTTCTCTTCATATACAATGAACATCACTACAAATCTGTTTTTTTTCTCCGCCTTTTTCATCGTAGAGTTTTTTCTTTGAACAGACCTGTTCGATTTTGTCTTCATCGAAGAGACATGACATTGTTACATCTTGACCAACATCAGCTTGTAAATTTTGGTGTTGATTATCATTGATGGACAAAGATTTTTTCAAGGAAATCATTAAAATAATCAAAAGACATTGAAATATCGACGAACATACGTAGCACGACGGCATGACTGATGATTGAATGAATGTGAGTCGAGAAGAGAAGAGAAGAGAAACACTAAGAGAGAGAGAGACAGAGAGAAAAAGTCTTCCCGCTTTCTTCCTCTGCTCAAACTGTAGCCTATGCGTCTAGTAAAGACAGACCAACGACGGGCGTTTATATGTGTGTGATAATTGCTCTCCCTCTCTTTCTTTTACTTGCTTACACACGTTCATTTCATCTTATCCGCTTGAGGCATATAAATGAAGACGTGCAATGGACGATGGGCGTCATCATGAATTGTAAAAAAAGAAGAAGAAAGAAATGTGTGTTCATTTTGTATTTTTCCTTCCTGTATAGATTGATGTACGAGAGGTACAAATGATGATAATCATCATTTGTTGTTGATGGCACGTATTAAAGAAGAACGAAAGTGCTTTTACTTTCATCTCTCTCTCTCTGTCTATTTCGTTAAACTTACGTCATCCAATGTTTGTTTGGCCGGTTTAGGATCGGATGCTTTTATTCTTTGTATGTACTGATGTTGTAGTACAAAAAGTANTATTTTTCCTTCCTGTATAGATTGATGTACGAGAGGTACAAATGATGATAATCATCATTTGTTGTTGATGGCACGTATTAAAGAAGAACGAAAGTGCTTTTACTTTCATCTCTCTCTCTCTGTCTATTTCGTTAAACTTACGTCATCCAATGTTTGTTTGGCCGGTTTAGGATCGGATGCTTTTATTCTTTGTATGTACTGATGTTGTAGTACAAAAAGTATCAAAGAATATATTCAAGAAAAGAATAACAATAATTACCGGTAAGAAAGAAAGAAAGAAAGAAAGAAAGTAAAATGATGATTATTCATTTTGAACAATTCTCTTCTTATTCCGCGTTTTTTCTTCCATCGATAATGAAAATATGTTCGATTCTATTCTCAGACATTGAATCTCTTTCGTAATGAATTGATTTGATCAATTCACATATTCGATAACCAAACTAGATGATAGGTACGTGAGATTTATTATTCTTTCAATGTTTATACATCGACGACGAGACCATTCTGTCTCTCGAAAGAGTAGCTAAAACAAATCTTCCTTTCGAATATTCCTAATAAAATAGCATGATGATTTTCTCGTGTCAAAACTTCGATCATCCCGGTAGGTAACTTGTGCTATTTTACATCAAGGAATGAGAATATTAATTATAAATAAAGTAGGCATGCACATCTATGATCATGACATACTTGTCAATGAAGTTGTCTCAGCTGATTTCGGATATTAAAATGATTATTTTTAGTAGGTAGTCATCTGAAATAGCAAATGACTTTGATGGAACATCTTGTCGCATGTTTCTAATCAATTATGGATAAATCTTAATTGATGAACAGAGCTCTTCAGAAATTTTCTTGACATTCGAAGGTTTTTTATGTAAATCTTTGCAAGGTTATCAAAGAGATTTGCGATGTGATGGTCGGAAGGAGAGATCATGAATTAATAAAGCTTCTTTTCAGCCGTAAACCAATTTGACGTACGTATGATTCTGTCAGTTTGTCGTACAAGTAATGTTAGACAACGAGTAGAAGATTTCACCTTGCAACTGTTTGTACATCATCGCGTTTTTGCTGTTCTATGAAAAGAAGAATTGTGTTTCTTGGTGAATGTAACAAATATTTGAAAGTACTTTTCGTATATTTTATTAACTACTATTGAAAAGCGACTCATGATAATTAATTTATGCGGCTCAGGTCAAGGAAAATGACGCTTTTTGTCGAATAAAAGAAGTACTTGGTGACAGCTGTAAGAGAATCAGAAGATTTCTTCGTCACACATTGTACACACAGTGGGAATATCAATATTTCCAGTTCTTTTATTTCATCTGACAATCAATTAAATCGAATCGTTCGCCTTCAAAGAAAGAATGCTGAAGTAAAGAGAAATAATTGAATGTTCATTTTTGATGAGAAGTCCATTAGATTAAAACGAAACTAAAGTGATTACTTGGCTTCAATTTCATTACACAAAACTGAATTGCTAATGATTCTTCCTCAATAAGAACATCATTGGGCTTCTGACCAGTCCCTTTTCAAGTCATTTGTATATGGAGTACTACATTGAAATCTACAAATGTAAATACAAGAAACTGTTTATCAACAAATATATCAAATATCCGAAATTCTTTTCTTGATAGCTCTAGAAGTATCGAGGATTTTACACTTTTTACTTTGAAGTTGATTCTCTTTGTGTAGAATTTATTTCATTCATTATCAAAGTCCTTCATTTCTCAACTCTTGTTTAACAATTCGAACAAAAAGAATACAAAATATCGAAAATTATGTCGGTGTTTTATTTCACATAGTTTTTTGATTTTTCACCAACAATTTCGATTTTCGTGGAATAATCAACGATCGAAGGAATTCTTTCACACCAGCGTACGTTTCCTGTCCTACTGGTTCAATAAATGTTGTCGGTAGCATAAAAGCAAAATGAGCATGTGCGTCATTCATGTCATCTGAAGGACGTAACTCGACTGTATAGACATATTTGATTTGACCCACACCTTTCGCCCAGTCATCGCTTCCTCCAGCTGATTCATCTAAATCCAAAGAAACAAGTCAGAATTGGACGAGCTTTTGACTAAAAACTTTTTACAGAGTAAATTCGCCGCTGAACCAATTTTGTACAACGTTCCGTTGACACGTTTCAATGCTTCTGAGCCAATCACTGCTTTGTTATTCTGAAAAAAAGTCGAATGATTAACAAAAGAAAGTGAGGAATTTCCAGTTACTAGTTCACGATAATCATCCGGCATATGTAGAGCGAATCCCCATGGATAAATCCAATATTGACCATAGGAATGAAAGGTTAGATAAGCGTCCCATGATCGAGGGGATTGATTGATAAATCTTTGTAAACTCCGCGTTTCTGGTTCACTGTCTTGATGTGGTCCCGCATACGTTTCAGAACATGGATTCATCGATGCACCATTTTCTAATGAGAATTCAGTTCAAGTTAGATCAATGAAGAGAAAAAGGTATATTACCCATCCAATGATACCCGAAATTTCGATTCAAATCAACTCCCATACAATTCGATCGGTAATGAATACCGTTGGGCGAACGATTTTTCCGCCACATTCGTCTCTAGATATCCATACAGAGAAATTCAACATCTGACAACAAAAACTAATGAATTTACTTCCGTTTGTGCATATTCATAACCATCAGGATTCAGTAATGGAATGATATAAATATTAAATACTGATAGAAGTGATGGTCGTCCATTATTAACTTCTTCAATTAACTGAAAGAAAAGATTGTCTCCTTGAGTTCTTCTTCAAAGATCTCTTACTTTATCTATCATGTAAAGACAAGTAGAAGGCGAGATGAATTCTCTCGCATGAATTCCACAGTCCATCAAAATATTTCTTCGAGCTGTTGGTTTTCCAATCTGAATAACAGAAACCTTTCTCCCTCGATGAAACTATCTCATTGACTTACTCGTATGGTCCAAATCGATCGATTTTCATGTGTCGTACCAATCGAAAATAATGATGTAAAGTTTCTGTATGTCGGTGATCGTCGATGTTGTTGATTAAGAAATTGAACAATCTATTCGAAAGGAACTCGGTATAAAATTCGTTTTTCGCAATGATTTACTTGATCGTATCTTAAATAATCAACTAAATGTGGTGGAGTGAAATGTTTGATCGCTCGACGTGTACGAGTTTTATGTTGTTTGGAAATATCGTCTGATGATTGAATCAATCTGAATTCAATGATCGATGAATAAGAGGAAATCTCGAACAGTGTTTACTTTTCTAAATTATTGTTGAGAATTTTCATATCAATTCCGTATTGTTTGCATAGTTTTCTGATCTTTGGCAGTTGTTTTCGTGGTAAACTCATTTTGATATCTCGATTCACTTGAAGAACTTCCGACCATCGATCGACCTGTTCATCATTAACTTTCTAGTTCAGAAAAAATGTAAGAAGAGTCATTCCTACCCCATAATTGTCTTCGAAATGATGAATTAATCGCAGATGTTCGTTTGTTTTCGGCAGAACACGTATCAGTTCATGTCTATTTCAAAGAAGTCGTCGAAGTTTTCTCGAAAAAGTCCTTTACCCTTTATAAAAATGATTATTCGCATGCGATAACGTGGCGAGAACCCAAGTAAGATACACCTTGAACAGCATCGTTCGATCTTGTAAGTCTCAAGACAGGAAATATTTAAGGACAACGAAAAAGAAAATGAATGAATGAATCAAACAAATGCTTTCGTTAAGTTTCATTTATCTAAGATCTTATTACTCGACTTGAATATGTTTAGAAGAATCAAATTTGATTGACAGACGTCAGCAGACGAACAGAAGGTTCATATTACTTCTCCGGTCTTTGTACTGATATCTTTTCTCTTTGTTAAACTAAGTCACTAAGTCAAAGTTCTTCGTTTTTTTTTCAAATAATCACCATCAAACAATCCAATATTTACTTAGTTTTATTCAATAATATATCCAAAAAAGTGAACCGGAGTTGAATTAAATCGATGATACAAAAAATGTTCGTTGAAGGTTATACAAGCGATCAAAACCGCTTTTCGGTCTTTATCTTTTTCAATTTCAGTTAAATTTCTAAAAGGTACCATTAAATCTTTTGATGCATATTCACCGTTTCGTTTCATCCATTGAATGTGAATGATTTCTGAAATCTCGTCGATGTAATTTTGACTAAATAGACGTTTGCGACGAAGACCTTGTAGAACATATCTACAAGCGATTCGTGCGGTCGCGCGATTTTCCGATGCCCAATCCGATGGTAATTCGTTGTAATTCATGTTTAAGATATCAACATAAAGCAAAGAAGAATTCAACCGAGATTGTGCAACTTTGAGATTTCGATGAACAAGACATGAACCCACAGTAAGAATCATTGGATAAACAAAATCCGAAGAGTTGTAATTCGTTCGACTTTTGGTTAATTTGAAACGATTTCTCACAAACGGATTTTTCTCTAGGAAACTTTTCCTCCAATTCGCATGAAATCGACTTGCAACATTTTGAACATAAAATCGAAAATGCTTATCGAATCTTCTTAATTCAACATTCGAACCGCAGAAAAATATCGCATAGATAATCAACGTTATTAGATGCATTTGGTAATATGTTGATAAACTTACTGGACGAATATACTTATCGGATTAGAGAAAGTATTTCTATGTATCGATAGCAGATTGATGATAACTTGACTTATTTTTCTTTCTCGTTTTCTTCATACACAAATATGTCTTAAATAAATAATAGACAGCCAACATAGACACATACACAAATGTTGTGACAGTTTTTTCAAATGAGACTCATCAGTTGTTGTTCTTTTTTTTTATTATTGAATTTCGTTTTTTGTGAATTACAGTGGAGATTTGCTCGTTGACAATCGTTTCTGAATTTGTTCTACCTTTTGTAAATTATTCAGAAAAAGAATTTTATAAATAACTTTGATTGTCTAGAAGAGAAAACAGCAACTGACTCCTGCGTTTTTCTTCTCTTAGGAATACAAGGATAAGTTCAAATTACTTCCATAATTACTGTAACACCTGACGAGCTTTTTCAGTCTACATGACTAACTTGTGAAATGTGAATATTTTGAAAACACCTCAACGAATAACCTTGTTTATATGTATATCTACTTGTAATTAACATTGATGATGGTACTGTAATAGAATATGACAACCAAAGCAACTAATTCCGTTGCATTCTACATCAACACATGAAATAACATCTTGTCAATCTCTTTCAAGAAGAAAAAAAAACTGTCGGATATGATTCAAACTAAATATCCAAACGTCAATCAGAAATAGCAATCGTAGGCGTCGAACTATTAACAGAACATAAACTTATCACCCAGAAAAAGAACATTTAGATCTGTATTTAGTACAGTTTAGAAGAATAAACGATGTAGAACCTTTTTCTTCTGCCCACGTACAATAGAAAAGAATGTTCTGCTCAGACTTCGAGCAATAAATACTCTCGCAGACATACACAATTATCTTCTTTGTCAACTCTCGTACTCCAACTAACCAGCTTTCAATCAACAGCTTTGCTAATACAATTGGATTATCTCTCGCGTAAGATTAGAGATAAAATTAATTAATTAATTCAAATCTACGGAAATGAAAGATTTCATTACGATCGATATTCAGTTAATAAATGTATTTCAGATAAGAATTCTTTTTAATCATGTTTACACTTGAACAATTTCTTCAAAATACAACATGGAATCCAACATTAGATGATGCTGGAGAAGCCGGAAAGAAAATTCTTCATATGCGTCTTCAAGTCAAACCGGGAACAACACCCGAAAACTTGAATATTACACTCAATGGACACGATTTACGCGTTAACTTCGAAAATAAAGGTTCAAAAATTCTCTTTTTATTTCATTAAAACATTTCTCTTTCATTCTAGCTGGACCGGAATATAAACAAGTGACAGTATGGCCAACAGCTGATTTGGAGAAATTAAAAACTGAATTGAAAGGTGATGGATACCTTCATATCACAGTACCAATTCGAGTTTAGAGAAATATCAATGAACTTTTATCTACTTGAATTTGAACCCTTTTGTAGTGTAGTCGTGTGAATTATTAATAAAAATAAGAAACTTCATTGGTGTCCTCGGGTACAAAACATAATCTCGTATAAATAGTTCTACTTGTGTTCGTACTTCTTGTTTTTGTTTTGTATGGGTTATTAATAACATTGGTTATTTTGTACAAGAGATTAAAAAGGATACTTTTGCTGGTTTTTCAAGCATCAAATTAGGAAAGAACTGAGGATTTTGTTCGATCGATCGTTTCTTAGATCAATAAGCTATGTTAATTATTTTTCTTCTTCATACCAACATGAAACGAACGTTGCGAACATGTTTCTTTTTTCTTCTAATATTATTTCTACGTGACTTTTGTTTATTAATGATCATCGTCGGTTGTCCTTGTTGTGTATCTTCTTCGTACTGTTTCTATATGGATAATCTGTCTTTTTCTGTCTGCGATAAACACGCGTTTCAGATCTTTTTTCTCCTTTCGCATCGTTTCTCTCTCTCTCTCTCTCGTTTTGTTATTCATTCGAAATATCGCATAGAGAAAAGACATTATTGCATACACATACCGAGATATTCTTATCAACATACGATACTTTTTACATCTTCCACAATGTTCAAACTTCTTGCTTATTTTACACTCGCAGCCATTTTCATGTTGACAACGAATGGCTTTATGTTCAGTCACAAAGAAAAATGTCAAATATCGGTTTACAAAGGTGGTAAAGATTTTAGCGGTGATAAAATTATGGCAAATAAATCATTCATTCCTTATTTGAAATCGATTGGTGCTGTTGCGAAAGGATGTAACGTGCGAATTCATGTTGTTGGTTCATATAAACAATTGAAAACACCAACCGAATATGTCTTGTCATCACAAATGCCATTGGCTCTCGGTCGTGGTATTTATTTTGATTTACAAAATCCAAAAGGTTCGACTGTATGTAATAAATTATGTATGACAACACATTCATGGAAAACCCTTCCCGAAGCTGCTTGTTTTATTGATAATGTTCAAAAGAAAGGTGTCAAATTCACTGAGCCAAACCTTCTACATGATGGCTATACAAGTAAAGCAAGTACATCGGAGATTGAAGCACTGAAGGTAGCGACGCAAAAGTTATGTGCACCAAAAACCAAAGGTTAAAGTCAACATTCATCAAAGTTTTTATAAACATTATCCCTAGTTAGTTTTCATTTTCTAAACGAGCTAACTAATCCTTGTAATCAATCGAAAGGTTTTTTTTCTAAATTATCTTAATAAAAGGAATATTTCGTATTATAATGTTTAAAAAAATCTACAAGTCATTGGAAGTGTTGTCTTTTGAGTTTGTTGTCGTCGTTATAAGTTTTTGTAAGAAAGTCACACATGCAAAGTATAACATAAATTTGTTTGTTTATCTGAAAAGGTGATCATTGATATCATTCTATGCGACGACACTTTGTGAGAAAAACAAGGCAAACTGATAATCGACAGTAAATCATTGGTCGCAGCAGAAACGAAAAAATATCTAGGCGGCTCTTTTTCTATAACTATTGTGAGTATCGAAAATGTTGGTTTCTAAGAGAATCTTTCGAAATGATTCAATCATAACTGTGCGCAGACACATAAATTTGGACCTTGTTACATTTTATTTAAACATTAGCTGCTGAAATTCGAATAAAATGATATGATTTATTAAAATAATATACAAGATAGCTTATGAGAAAAATTGAGTGAATGTCATGTGGATATAAAAGTTCAAAGTGCGAACGAATGTCTTGGAAAGAAAACTGGAGAAACACTGCTGCCTCTAATTCCATATATGTATCCGGTATTCCTTTGTAAATGTTCATTATATTCTTGATCACTTATTGGATATTTGTCTTCTGATGTCGAAACGGTGGGTGCACTAAAAATTGCCAATCCTGCGAGCACACTGGTAGCAACGGCTACTGCACCAACAATGATGCTTATCACAATTACAGATTCCACAACCATTGTTTGATTGAGCAGAGTTATTTAACGAAAGCGAATTCAATCACGTTAGCACACAGTATGTTGCCTTTTCAAAATGAGTACAAAAAAAAAGTAGCCCGTGATTATTTCGATTTTTTCTACATGAATGGTGGTCACGCTTTTTGCACATATTTTTTCTCATTTTTTATCTATCTTATGGCAGAATGAAAAGAAAATCTTACCTTGACAGCGATAGCTTGGAGTGAATCGGTTATACCGTCAAGCAAAGAGAAATATGCATTTGCTCACGAGACAAAGAAAGCATGTCTTTGAATTAAACAAAAACGCACTATAGCATTTTGAATTTTATACTATTTGTATTCCTTTCTCCATTATTAATACGGAGCTATTTAAGAGACTAATATTTAACTGTTATTTGTACAAATGCATGCCATTCAATATGAGCCTCTTTGCTTTCCGTATTCGCAATAACCTCCCACGTGTAATGATTGGCTTTGCGTATATTAATTTTGTTTTTGTCATAATAAAATTGTATAGATGCATATTGCCTTTTGACCACCATAGGATTTCCAGTAGACTATTGCAATCCGCTTACTGCCAAAATTGCAACCTTGTTATGAAATAATCTGAATGTTGTAATAATGATGTGTCGTTACTAGACTGAGAGAAAAGTAGAATGCTGAGAATAAATCATTGAATGGGCGCGATGTCAGAGTTACATTAATAACAACATCGTTTGTTTTTTCTATATTTAGACAAGTGATTAATCTGGTAACTATATGAATTGACCTTGCACTCACATCTGTCTTGTTTATAACAGTAAGATGATAATATAACTCACGAAACTTACTGATTTAATACATGGTAGTATTCATTTTGACTTGTCTTTTTTCTCACACGTATGCACGTATACGATCGATACAATTGCTTCTCCACAAGTATTTCGACAGATATACTGAAAGTTTTTAGTAGCATCACTCGTTTGTTCTTATACACACTGATATTCTATTGATTATTTCGGCTGACGAAGTGGCACATCGTTTCTCATTGATGCACTTTGCAGATTTTCTCTCTGGAAAATATGAAGAGTTTAATTAAAATAGAACCAGCGTTTTGTGCGAAACAATCCAAGTCATTATTCTTATATTTTTATTTAAAATAAAACAATATCCTTATCAACATGATCGACTCAGCCGTCTATGTAGAATATCTTGGACACGGATCCAGCCTTTTCTTGAACGGATTCGCACATGAGTATATTCTAACTTAAATCACATTTGTTCCAGGTAGAAATCGGTGAGCTCTGCAAAAAATTGCAAAAGCAACCTTAAAAAACATGACAATTTCAGGAAAAACGCACACGGACTCGTTTCTTCGCTTTCATCTACCATTCCGACACTTATTCCAGATCCAAGTCGACGAGCTCTATCGATTCCAATCAGAAAAAGATTTTCGTTCATCCTCGCCCACTTCTAGCCTGATGTATACACTATCAATTACCTGTTTACTCAGCATATGAGCACACTATTTTTAATCTTTTTTTTCTCTTTTACAATACTTTACGTTGGTCCATCGATGATGAAGTGATTTTGAATAACTGGCTAATACTTAAATAAATGAATTCTACTTACAAATTCGACGATATTGACTTGTTGAACATTCAAGTTCATTCATCCGCTGATGCACGAAATCGTCAGCGACATTATGGAAAGGCAACCAAACAAACTATTAGATTAGTATTTCATCATCTTAATTCCAAGGTCTACTGTCAAGATTGCTTCATTATACAACACTGTTTCTGCTACCTTTATTTATTCAGTATCAAATTTAGATACAACAATTGATCCAGATTCTATTCGACTATCAGACAAAAGTTTTTGCAATGCTGCTTGTCTATCGTAATCAACTTCCATTGACGATTGTTGCTGATGCTGATTTGACTTTTTCTTCTTGCTTTTAAACAACACTTGAGATGGTGTTGCTTGACTGGAACTATTGGATGCTGCGTTCATTTGAAGTAGTTGTTCAATACAATAATTCACCAAATATTTTTTACACTGTCGAATACTTCCACCAACATGAAGTGTCTGAATCGAACAATCGACCGGATCATTTGTTAATCGTGAAACAAATGCTGCTGCGGTTTGTAACATGCGTTTATCATCACGAAGGCATCGAACAATTGCAACATGTGTTGATGGGTTATAGTAGATAACGGAAAGATTCCTTGTAAAACGAGCAACGCCAATNATACAATAATTCACCAAATATTTTTTACACTGTCGAATACTTCCACCAACATGAAGTGTCTGAATCGAACAATCGACCGGATCATTTGTTAATCGTGAAACAAATGCTGCTGCGGTTTGTAACATGCGTTTATCATCACGAAGGCATCGAACAATTGCAACATGTGTTGATGGGTTATAGTAGATAACGGAAAGATTCCTTGTAAAACGAGCAACGCCAATGTCGCCATACAATCGACCGATCATTGTTTCTAACGTTGAATGAATTTGTGACGATTTAACAAGAGTCGACGGATGAGAGTGAGTTTGAAAATGGAATTGAAAAACAAAATAACGACGTTTTACACGAACCATTGTGTGTTTATTCTAACTACATACAATCTACAAAATAAGAAAAACAAACTAATGATTATCTTTATGTTCTAAACGTTCATATTCTTGTCGAATCTTCTTGATTCTTTCCTTTTCTTTCTCAGGATTTATATAATAAGGTCTTCGAACAGGTTTACTCAAAATTCCAGTTTCACGATATTTCGTTCGTTCAGCCAAATACATTTGTGTACAATCTTCGCGAAAGTCCGGGTCATGAAACCTGAAAAAGACACAACGATGTTCGGTTCTCTATCATTTATCTCGTTGGCGTACCATTTCTTCAAACATTCGTTCATTGCTTTGACTTCTTTTCGACATTTGAGGAAAGACCATGCACCATGTTGCTCGCCACATTTACCAAATTCTACATCAATAGCAAAAAAAAAAGAAAATTCTTCTGATTTTCCCCTTATGCAATCAATCTCACCATTAATCAAATCATGACACTTTTCTCGATGTGCACGTTCTCGGATAATACCTGGTATACAAACTTCTAATTCGACTTTTCGTAAACTTTTGTCGTTGGGATCACCTACATATTGATACACATATATCAATACTGTGTCATATATCAAAAAGTATTTATCTAACCGACGCCATGAGGTCCACCTCGATATCGACCAGCAGATACAAAATTTTGTGAAAAGACTTCCGTTTCTTGTTCTGTATTTGTATTACTACTCATATCTGAAATAACTATCACATTTCTTTCAGTATTAATAAGAATGCCCTTTTTTTTTCTTTATTATTCATTTTATAAAGAACAAACACAACATATACAGAAGGACAGAATGAAAAATGATCATTGTTCAGAGTTCTTCATGTTTTGATAAATATTGACGAAGAACAGTCAACATCTCCTTTTTGATTGAATCAGGAACAAGTGCTAAAACCGACAATGAAAATGATCAAACGAAAATGAGGAGAAAAACAAGGTACTTACCGCGACCTTTTGGTGTTATTTCTTGAACAAGCTCATCAACTGTAATATTTTCCAAACCTTTTTGTTTGACAATATCTATAGCATAGCAATAGAACTTGCCATAAACTGATGTTTAAAGTTTGTTCCTTACCTTTACAATATGCTTTCATTTGATCTCTCCAACCGTATTCCATCAATCGTTGTCTTAATAGTTGCTTCATTCTATGAATTAATAAAGTAAATCAGATGAAATGGTATTAAGAAACAAGCCCAATACCGTTCTCGTTCACCACTTTCGATTAGTTTTGCATTTAATGATGCTCGAATCTGTGCATTACGATCAGCCATGTCTCTCTGAGTATGGAAATAATCTAAAAAAGAAGAAACAAAGAACTAAACTGCTGTTGGTATTGATAGAAGATGATGTTGATGTTCTATGTAGAAGGACAAAAGATAAATACATGATGAAAAGAAGAGAAAAAAAGAGTCTTTTTCAATTGAAGGATTTTAGATTAATAAAACGGTAAACGAGTCCAGCTTTGGTAACGACGAAAGAATGGTTTTATATCCCAATTATTTGTTGTCCAATAATATCGAGGATCCTATAATGTTAAACAACATCTTAATGGACATTTTGAAAGTAATCTCTAGAAACTTACATATTTCATAAGACCTAATTGACTTTTTTGTGCATTAGGTTCGGTCCACCATTCGGACAGATGAAGAAGACGATTAACGTTGAACATTCGTGTCCAAAAGTGTTCATCTTGAAGTCTAAATCATCGAAAAACAAGCATGGATAAACAACAAACGAAAATCATGAACATACTGTGCACGAAATCGTTCTAATTCAACGTCAACAGTTAAACGCCAATCAGGAAACTTGTTTGTATCATCAAAATTAAGTTGTTCGATATCAAAAACAACCTTCAATCAAATAACGTCAAAATTTGATCTTTCCTTTCAACAGAATACAAAACTTCTTACATCGTCCAATGTTTTTATTTCATTTTCATTGTATTGAAGAATGTGACAATATGTGCTGTAAAAAAAAACGAAAATATTTTTCATTTTTCTATTCGAAAACGAACAACAAACAAACCTCATTCTTGGTAACCATTCCTCTTTGTACATTCGATCCATTGCTTGAAGCAATTCTAATGAATATACTTTACTTCCCTTTTGATAATCCTTTAAAATCAAACAGGAAGATTTAGTTGCACAAAACAATTTCGCGGTTTACTTTGCCATTTTTTTTCAAATCTTCCCAAATAGCATGTGGATCTTTATCGATAAAGATGATCAAACGAGGCATTTTCAAATTATAATCAATTGATACTTTGTATTCCAAAAGAAAATCATAACCTTTGTGAAAAGAAAACAGACTTAGTGAAAATTTTCAAATAGGACTAAGAATACCTCGATGAATCTGATTAATTCCTGATATAAAGAAACTCTCTTCATCGAATCTCAATCGTTGTACGAGTAAAACAGAGACATGAATTGCTTCTTTTTGTAAAAAAAAGCATTTTCACACGTCTCTACTCTTCGCAAACATCTCGAGAAAAAAAGAGTTTGTTTTTTCTATTAAATGACTGTTGTCATAGTAAATTCTCATCCGTTCACAGTAGAAAAAGAGGAGAAAAAAAATCTAACTATCCTCTTATTACACTACATGATGCTATTTACAATAAAAATTTCTTTTATTGATTCAGGTGAACGAGATTAATTTACAATTATTTTCTGACACTTTTCTACAAGTAACGACATGAATGGACAAATGTTTTTTTCTTTTCTAACCTTAAATTAAGTTACGCGAATGAACTTACTATCTTGGCTGATGAAATCGAATTCACGAAGAATGTTAAGAGTAGCATAAAAACTCCAATATGATCGATCCATAACAATTCCTTGACCTAAAGATCGACAATAATGTCAGAGCGTAGAGAAAATCAGAGATATACCAGTTGAAAACATATGTGATAATCCCATTCTTAATTGGTAAGTCATTGTTTGTAAAAGTGGTCTCAAAAGACGCACAGTTGCATGATAATCTGGATTCGAATGCCATTCTTCAGGAGAAGGTATACGATCTCTTGGTAGACAATAGTCGTTATGAAATTGTCTTGTATTAATAGTACCGGTTTCATCAATAAAATGCATTCGATCGACATCCGGTTTGGAAATAGGTAGAAATCCAATATGATTTGCTAAACGTTTAACGAAATCCGATCGACGAACACCAAAATTCGATTCAACATGAAAGAATAACGTATTATCATGTATATTTGCTAAGGTGTAATGACCACCCAAATAAAAATGGCGGAAAAAGTCTAAATAAAAACAAGATAACTAAATTTTCCCCGAAATTTTATCGAATTACTATAATTTTTGTTAACATAGTCGAACGGATGAGGTGGTTTCTCTGTATCCTTGTATTGCATGGAAAATGTTCGTTGATTTCGAGGAACCGAACATGTTGATACAATAAGTAAACGATGTTGCTGATTAGCGATGAAAATTCGACGAAGCGAAGCAGCAACGCCGCTGCTCATTTTCAGTTTATTAATCTAAAAGCAAATCAATTGTTCTTCTTTTCAATACTGAATACATTTTTAGATTATTATTGTTTATTTCTTTTCATTCGCGATATACATACATACATGTCTTTGTAGTACTCATTGGTTGTGTTCTCGACCAATCGGAATGGTTTTCGTCCATAACCAGTAATTGAGAGTCTCTTCTTTGCTTCGGTCGTACGTACGTCTGCATTTCTTCTTCTTAGTTGACTCATCAAAATTTACTTATGATGTGTGTAACACTTACTGCGTTTCCTAGGATTATTTCCCTGTTCTAGAATATTCGATTGTCGTCACTTTTCTGATGTATTGCATGAGAGTTCTCCTGTCGACTGACAAATTCTAGATAAATAAATAATCAGTAAGCGCTCCTTTTTTCGTTAATTCTATCCAATTCGAAAATGGCAGCTGCAGAAACGGAGTACTATTGTCATAAATGTCGAGTACATATTGGACACGTTATAGTAAGAATCTTTGCACTTCCGGTGTTTTCTTTCTAATTCAAGCTATTTAGAACTTTCAATGCCCACATTGTCACGATAGTTTTATCGAAGAACTTCTTCCAGATCAATCGTCATCGTACGTTTCATTTTGAAAACAAATTTTGTGTTTATATTTGGGAAAATTCTAGACGATCTAGACAGAGTGATCAATCGCATAGTGGCGAACGAACACTATTCCATAATTCTTCTCCCTTTGGTAATACAACGATCTTTATTGGCGGTGGTCATCCCGGAAATAGTCATGTACATCGTTATGAAAACCAAGATATGGGAATGTTTTTTCAAAATGTGCTTCAGCAAATCGGCGGTGTAATTGTCGGTGCTGGTGAACATCAATCTCCGTTGTAAGTTGATCTTTCTGGTCAAACTTGAATCTGTCTATTCTTATCTTAGTGCTATGCACAGTGTCAGTGGGCCAGGAATGGGCGAAGCACTCAATCTCGAAGCATTTCTCACTCAGGTACATACGCGACTTGGTACTCGTTCTAAAATCTCTTTGATTTGTGTTTATTTAGTTTCTAAATCAGTTGGGCGAAAACAGTGGACCAGCGCCAGCATCTGAAAATCGTATTAATACGATTCCAACAGTGAAAGTCACAGCCGAACAAGCGCGTAAGTGTTTTTTTCACGAACAAAACGCGCTAATCAATCAAGTACTTTTGATCTAGGTGACAGTTTACAATGTGCTATTTGTATGGATGATTTCAATGAGAATGATGAGGCGAAACGACTTCCCTGTTCACATCATTTTCATGAAGCATGTATATCACGATGGTTACGAATGGTAAAATCTCCTTCATTCGTATTAATTTGATGCTTATCGGACTTTTTTCTTTTAGCATGGAACATGTCCAACGTGTCGCGTAACATTGGACGGTGATAATACCGCTAATCGTGAATATTACAATATTTTCCCAGAACAAAATCAATCCTCAGCAAATAATAATCGACGAAATGATGGAAATAATGATGGATCAAGCTCAGGTGCAGGAGCAATGTTTATGGATTTCGATTAAATCCAACTATTTATGTGATTTGCTATGTTAGAAATGTCTTTTTCTTCTGATGTTCTTTGCTTTTTTTCTCTCTTATTGTGTTGATTTTTTCTCTGAGGAAAATAAATGCATATATGATAAATATCCACGGAAGACTCTCGTTTGTCTACGATTCTTTCGAGAAGATGACGAATGACATATTATTGTCCTAAAATGGAGCAATAGTTCTCCTTGATGTTTTCTTTTTTTTTATTGTTGATGTTTTTCCTCTTTAATTAACAGATGATGGACAACAAAAACAAACAACAAGCATTAGAAACTGTTGCTTATCGAAATCATTTTTCTTCTTTTGTTTTGTGTTCATTTAGACGAGCACTTCGGGAAATTCGAAGTGAACATCTTTGCCGGTAAGTTTCTTATAAATGGATTGAAAAGCTGGTACCTGGAAAAGAGAAGCGAAGCAGTGAAAGTAAAGATCTATGAAAGAGAAACGGACAAACCTTATTTTCAACAAGTGTTTGTTGATTTTTATCAAGATGAACCTTGAATAATCGAGATCCATCTAATTTGACACGAATACGTTTGCCTGTAATTTCAGCTGGATAGACAAGATCATGTAAAATAGCATCATGAACTGCAGTCAATGTTCGGCTAGAATAGAATTTCAAATCTTCAAACGTTTCATTTTGAATTAACGACATACTTTCGTGGACGTTTTTGTTTCGATTGTGTTTTCGATTTACGTGTCGGTTTTGGTAAAATTCGACGCTAAAGACAAGGAACGACGAATTTCCTAAGCAAAGGAAGAGATAGAACATACTTGTCCAAGAAGAACTACAGTTTGATTGTATTTCTTTTCCAATTCCGAAACAAGTAATGAATGTACTCGTTGAAAATTTTTCACTTTTGGCACTGGAATATAAATAACAAGAGCTGATCGTCCATCGCCCAATTCAACTCTCTGAAACAAACAAAACAAAATTAGTCTTGATAGAACTTTTTCGGCACACGAACCTTGGCTCCAGTGACGTAAAGTTCCCGTAATTGACCTTTAAATTGTGCATTTCCTTCGAGTTCAGTCAATTGCTAAAATAAATAAGTGTGTTTCGATTCTTTTTTTGTCAATTTTTGTTTATTTTTACTTGTGAAACGTCGAGTTCAAGTGCTGTTGGTGGTTCACTACCACTTTTCATGATCTTAGTACCGGTACTCATTGTTGACAGAAAATAAGTTAGTCAAACAATCTGAAATAAAATAAGAGAAATTTTCGTTCGTTTAGTATCTCTCCATCAACTAAATACAAGAATGAATTAAAAAAAAACAACAATTGGATCCTCTACAACAGTCCACTGTTTACCATGTCGTATTAAATGAATATTTTAGAATTGTTTTAGTCAGGAGTTTATTTCTGAAATTTCAAAAAAATCTCTTTGATTTGATTTGGAAATGCGAAAAGTTTTTGTGAAAAAGTATTGAAAATATTTTCATTGGGCGAGATGTAATGACCAATGGCAACAATTTGGTTAGTCTTTCAACTAAACAGCTGATGAATTCTAGATTTCATTGAAGAATCATGGATTTAAACGGTGGAAAACCACTCTCACCATGGAAAGTTCCATCACGAATATCATTAAAACGTATTCGTCATAAAATCAATTCAGATCTATCTGTTCAAACACTTTCATCACAAGCAAATGAGAGAAATTCTCAGAAACTCAATACAAAACGGAATCGTCCGATGATCAATAAATTTGCCTTGGCGCGTTCAATTTCAACACCAACGTCGGATGAAAATGTGACACCAAATCTTCCCCCTCCAACAACAACAGCAGTTGAAAAGAGTAATGACGAACACCTTCTTGCTAAACTTCACCAAATTATGCCGCCACCGTCAGCGATGATCGCTAATGACCAACATTTTCAAACAACAATGAGAAGCTTTTCACTGGAAGGATCATTCAGTCCGGTCGAGTCAAGTAATGAAAAAGTTTCTTCTCATAAATTCTGTTTTCAAACCGATTTATTTAGATAATAAAACGTCGGATGAACTTCTTCTTGCATTTCCCATTGATTGGTCATTGAAATCCTCGTGTCGATTTCATTCATTGAATCCTTCATCAGGATTTTTAAACCAATTTATGAAGCTTCGTTCAGCTGATGAAACTCTTGCTCTAGAATACATTTGTTCCAATAGAGATCAAGACAACGAGAAGGCTCTTTTTCGTTCCTTAACATCCTACTGGACATATCCACATATTTCTTGGTTAAAACTATTTCCACGTTCACAACAACAACAACAAAGCAATGCAAGTTTTGCACCTTTGGATGAACAAGCACAACTCGTGCTTCAAGATGAATGGAAAAGTGCATTTCAATCACTTTTTCAAGCATTTAGAACTAAATATTGCGCGTTCTTTTACATGTGTACACACACGTTCAACATCTTATTTCGAGAAGATTCATCGTCACAAATTGTTGCTGTAATTAGCCCAACAACGAGCGGTTTACGAGCAACATTCGAACGTGAGGGAATCGAATTTACAATGGCTGAGTATGTAAACCAAAACATATATCTTCTTGTAAAACTCTAGGAGGATAATTTTAGGGGTGACGATTCGTTAAGTAAAAATAATGAAGAAGAAGAAGATGACGACGAGAACGCTGATGAAAATGATGCATCATGTGCACAGTGGCTAGAAGATATAGGTTTATCTGCTGCATCTTCAACAAATTCAGCAAATGATCGTCGCTGTACGTCAACAAAGAAAAAATCCAACAGTGATAAAACACGTTCAACGACAATTCTTATTCGAGATTTATCATCTGTAAATAGTTTATTTAATTTCCTTTTGAATAAATCTCAACGAACATGTATGGCCCTAACTGGTTCATTGACTGGTGNATGTGCACAGTGGCTAGAAGATATAGGTTTATCTGCTGCATCTTCAACAAATTCAGCAAATGATCGTCGCTGTACGTCAACAAAGAAAAAATCCAACAGTGATAAAACACGTTCAACGACAATTCTTATTCGAGATTTATCATCTGTAAATAGTTTATTTAATTTCCTTTTGAATAAATCTCAACGAACATGTATGGCCCTAACTGGTTCATTGACTGGTGTTCCACCAACGTTGATGTCACCACGGCCATTTCTTCACTCATCATTAAAATACCTCAATGTTCACTTTCAATCGAACTCAATGTTAACAGTTGATGGTGGACCATTATTACCTGATCGATTGAAAGGTCTTTGGAATCTTCTTACAGATAAAAATGAACAAATTCAAATGACTTGTACAAATGTTGAACGAACATCGGCATTAAATCTAGACGGTGAACAAGGTCGGACAATCAAACAAATTCAACTGAATGAAAACCAACATTTACGTGTACAATTTGCAACAATGTGATTTTCATCAATTCTTTCTCTTTGATGTCAGATAATTTCATTGAACAATTTATTGTCAGATTATCTCCTTAATCGGCTTCTTTTTTTCTTTTCTTCACAAATAAATTTAAAAGGCTTTGTGTTGCCTATTTCGAAAAGTTTCAGCATTTTGACACAGAGAGCGCCGATATATGATATCAAATGGTTACATCGCACCTTCTAACAGTGATTGTCAAAAGCATATTATATAAGTTTTTCGTTTATGTCAAATATTAAGAGAATTCAGCAATGTTAACTAATTAGTTCTTGTTTTCTCATTCCCATCTTCTAAATTCTCTACTATTATCATATCAAAAATAAGCTGCAAATATAACTGGATCCGGGTGAATTAGACTCAAATCTTTTGTAAACCATTATTATCACCTACTTTTGTATTCTCTCTGAAATGACATTGTCAAATGAAATGCGTCATAGTCGGCGATTTAGCACTCTTCAAAATATCATAGAATTCAACGAACCATTCGCGAAAAATCAAATGATGAAATCTCCACCGAGCTGAATATCAAACGTGCATGTGAGAAAACTGTAAATTCTGCCGCATAAAAAACTGCTTTACAGCTAACAATATTATGTGCAGGTATGGCACTTTACTGTTACTTGCAGAGAGTAACTTCGACACACCTCGAGTTATATTTTAAAAGAGAAACCATAAAGTTTCATCAAGATCTAGTTGATTGCGATGCCTGTGACATACGTAGCACTGACTATTCTAGTCGGATCAAAAGTAACCTACTTCTCAGATTGAAAAATTCAACTATATTAGAAGATCCTCGAGTTTTGGCCAGCAATGGTGTTTCGTAACTTTTAAAAAGTAACTGTAAAATGTCATTCCTAACTGCATATTATTTTCGTGTAAAATCGTACTGCCTTCTCAGGGGCTAATCTCTACACATCTTCGCCTACAAGACTAGAGTATCTCTGGAAAATCTAAGTTTATCTGACAGTACTAAATTTTTGCAATACCGCCGGTCACTGTTTTGAGGTGTTTAGTATATTGCACAGTACGATTTTCAACACTGATCGACCTAAAAAAGAATCGATTCGATATATAATGAAAATGACTAGTAAGTACGGGAAAATGATTAATCCTCTGCGTCCGGATGTTACCACATGACAACTTCCAACAACAAAGGAACAAGACTTTTTTTCTGTCCAATTGTCACAATAACATTACTATGCGGTAATATTCTTTTTGTTTCTTTTCTTTTCTTTTCTTTTCTTTTTCGATTCTTACCATGGCGTCATCATATGTACGGTTTAATATTGAAAACTGAAGCAGAATTATCCAAGAAAGATCGAGGTTCCGGAGATCATCGCGTAGCAGAGTTAGATAGAATCCTAATTTGTGCAACTAGATGGTACGATAATAATGTTGTCAATTACCGTTCAACCTTGCATGCTTGTTAGAATGTTAGCCCATTGATTTAGTTCAACGATGGCCGATAAAAGAAAAATAAACATGTTCGAGTTACAAGACCGGACTTCGTAACAGCGCAACACCAGCACATGGATGCAAATAATGTGGAAAATAAGTTAATTTGGCTATATCGTATCAATGTTAAATCCAAGAAATACTATATGAAAATTATCTTTGATCTTGTTGATCTTTCAGCTGCAAACACTTGGCTTTTATACCGTCACCATTATCTACAGTTTAATATTCAAAAGAAGAACACACTAGCCTTATTGACATCTCCTTTAAATGTGGTTGAATCTTTAGTTAAATCTGCTACGCTACTACTTCAATTGGAACTGAGATACCGATCAGTGAAATTGTCAATAGTCGAACGCAGCACTTCAGCAAGAAAACAGATTGTAAAATTTTTACAACCCACTTGGCGAGGAGGATAGGGGAAATATTTAAAAAATTTATTATTTGCTTTCTAGGAGTCGTATGGAAAGGGCTAGTATCTGCAACATTTGTAAATTGATCATTTCTTGGATCGCATTAGGTGTCATATAGCACCCTCTATATGGTCTTTTAGAACAACGTCATGTTTATTTATATACCCAAAATTTTTTCCGAAAATGAATTCGGCAAGCTTCTTATCAAAAATTACTACTTTGCATGCGTCAATACACCCAAACATCAATAGGCGGACAATAACTCATTCTGAAAAACAAGTTTTGCTGTGATCTTAAGAAGAATGTTATAAAAACCAGTGTTCTTTGGTGCAACGGAACTTCTCAGGTCATTGCGGCTCGGTCAGAATCGACAAAAAAATGTACCGGAACCGGCTTAGGGTTAAAAGGATCCAGCCGCCAGAACGATCGACCTGGGTTATTGCCCCCTCTGACGATACTAATTCAATCCACCCATGGAAACACATAAAGATGATCGTGACTTCACGTCATGGCTTTGTATCTCTCCCATCCAAAACGCACACATCGGTCAAACCATTCAGATGTTCTTATAAAATTGTCAATTAATCAGGTTATATATGTCTTGTTTGTTTAATGTCTTTATCGTTTTTAATGTTTTGTTTTTAAAAAGAAAGAAGTACATAATACAGACAAGGTCGAACACTGACTAAACGTTACATTGAAAGAATTGTTGCGCGTAAATTGAGTTAAAGTGAAAGCTTTGACTGATGACTTATCTTAAGAGCGAAAAGTACTATCTATCTCGTCTTCGGATCAAGGATGAGTGCTATCGCTGCTTTCCAATGTGCAAGGCTGATCGTCACTACACCGCGTTATTTCTGTGTAGTTAAATAGAGGCATGAATAGACGTTGAGCTGCTGCCCTTATCGGAAGCACGGCGAGTGCGAATAGAAATCTTTTGGAAAACTTGGTGTAGAAATACGTTTCCATAAAAAAATCATTGATTAAACTTGTATTAAATAATCTTCTGGCTTTCTGATGAGTGTAAGAAAACTGTAACTTGAAAAGGTATCACAAATGAATTTTTCGTCTCAAGAATAAGGTCAGAGACAGAGAATCCATAGAATAAGCGCTACTTGCGAAATATCGTTCATATTTGCATTGCACCGATCGTTTTCAGAATTTTGTACCATGATGCAACAGGACTTCACGCTGTCCATACGCATCTTTGAAAATCAAGTGATGCGAACACCAATGCATTCACTTTTCTTTTTTATTTATTACATATTTGGACAAAGGTACGATATGAGATGTTTTCATTGATCGAAGTAGAACTGCATTATACATCCACCTGGTCATCGTTCAACCGTAGGTGCATAAATAGTTTCATATATAGGGATAGTTTGTCTGCTTATTGTTTCTCGATTCACCCTTTGTCACGTTTATCATGGAATCAGCTATGAGAAACGATGCAGATGCAAGGTCATCAAAAGGAGGGCAAATGCCGTTTTACTCTGATTTTCCTTGTTCTTGAGGAATGCATGAAATCAGAAATTGATTCCATTTGACTTGACAAATATCAAGGATTCAGTCGGATCTGAACTTGCTGAATGCCACACTAAGAAAGAAGTGGAAATATCTCTCAAATACCGACGTCAAAATCGTTCTTGTCAAGGTTTTAATGAGTTTATTTTAAAGTGAGTCCCTTTCATTCCTGTTATCGAATGTCGAATTCATCCTCTCCAGACTAGGGAATGACGAAAATAAAGAGACTATGAAAAACATGTCTGACAGCTGCGATGATTGATGTCAATAAATACCCTCTCATCAGTGTGAAGCTAGCACGAAGGAGCTAGCACGAAGAAACTGTGTGTAAGCTAAAAACTTTTTTCCAGAGTTTGTCCGGTCCATCAAACCTAGTCCATTTGATTCAGAATTTAATTCTGCATCGAATGGTCGTATTTTTATTCACCGGACAAACTTTGGAAAAAAAGCTTAACCACATCTTTGTTTGCCTCATATAGGTCTATTTATGTTTCCGATCATTTTTTTCCAAAGTTTGTCCGGTGAATAAAAATACGACCATTCGATGCAGAATTAAATTTTGAATCAAATGGACTAGGTTTGATGGACCGGACAAACTCTGGAAAAAAGTTTTTAGCTTACACACAGTTTCTTCGTGCTAGCTCCTTCGTGCTAGTTTCACACTGATTGTAGCGCTTAAATGTAACTTATCACGACCATGTTTTCCCTTACATGGTTAACACAATTGCTCAAGCTTGCATTTCGTTGATCACTTTCAAAATAGTACACGATAATATACCGATACATCATGCCATTTATAAGGGACTTTAAAAATCAAGTGATACAAACACATTCACTTTTTTTATTTAAAACTTGTTAAAAATATTTGTATGAAAATAGAATACGAGACGCTTTCATCGGATATTGTTACCGCTACTTTTTATTGGTCTAAGCATAATTTTATGATATGATCATGGCCGTCATAGTTTGTTCTTAGACGCATAAATAAATATTCATTTGGCTGTTGATTGTGTCTGATTTCATTTCTTATCGCATTTATGGTGACATCAATTATGGATGATAATATTAATACAAGCTCAGTGAAAGATAAGAAATACCATATAATTTTGATTTATCTTGTTCATGAAGAAGACAACAACTATTGTGGAGGTGGTTATCGTGATGTACCAACGAAATTGGTGGGTGCTGTTGGTGGTGATACAATTAACGACATGGTTGATGAAGCCTATGAATCATTGGAAGAAAATGTGCGAACTGAGATAAACGTCCCATTTAATACAGAAAATATCAAGGAATCTGTCGCATTTGATCTTGTTGAATGTTACAACGAAGAAGAAATGAATGTAGCTTTCGAATATCGAAGACAAGGAAGAAGTTGTGAAGATATTAATATGTTTATTGCAAAGTAAGACATTTTCATTTCACTTATGAACTCATGCACACTTAACGAAACAATATTATCGTTCAATTTCTAGGTTACGAGACGACGAAAAGAACAAACATGAAAACAGGGGCTAACAGTATATCGCTGATTACATATATATGTTATATAAATATTTTTCTTATTATAAAAATGATTAGAGACACGTTCTAAGAAAATCTTTTCTGCGTGCTTATTTTCTAAATTATGGAATAACGAAAATACTGTTGAACAATAAACGCTGATTACACGTATTTTTATATTTGGTTTTATCTCTATACGCGTCTCGATGAACACATTTTGTCAACAAACATACTGGCCGATGCATCATCAAATCAAGAATTATTTGACATTTTCACTATTGGATATGCTTACATGATCTTTTTAATCGTTGTTGTTTTCTTCTCTTCACAATACATCTGAATACGCTGTTACATTTTTTTAATGAAAAAAAATACTTGAAAATGCTTTTAGATAATTGACATAGATACTGACAAATAATCAGATAATAAATCTCTTTTGAAGGCTTTATATTATTAGAACATGAAGAAAACAGAGATAAGAATATTAATAGACTGTTACNTCTGTTCTTGCTCATTTTCTTGAAAATAAACTTGAAAAAATGTTCTCGAGTTTCCTTTCTTGTCGATCGAGTATTTTGTTAACGTCTGTTCTTCGTTCACCAACAATTCGTTCGATAAGTAAGAGGTCCGGTGAAGATGCCGAATCTCAACAACGTTTGTCCGTAACGAAAAAAATGCGCTTGTTAGGATTACAAAGTAATCAAGCACGGAAAGCATTGTCGATTTACGATGATTATGTACATCGTCAGAAGAAAATACCGGATTTACGTATGTTCGCTGTGGCAATTAACTGTGCGATGATTGCGGAAGATTTAGCGAAGGGTCGTGAAATTCATCAATTTATCGAAAAGGACTTTCCACATTTAAAAGATGATTTGATGCTGAAACAACAACTACGTTATTTTTATATAAAATGTAACGATCAACAATCAGCTGATAAACTTTTTCAACAAACACCAACGAAACCGCAAGAAGGTCAAAACACGATATCTCAGGATTTGGGTGTGACTAATAAAAAACAATAAAAAAAGCGTATCTAAGTTTTGTCAAATAAATATCTAATGTGTGCTATTTCTGTTGCATTATATGATCAAAGACATATGTTTCTATAGAATTGTGAATCATCGGTTCGTAAGGTAAAAGAGTGTTGTATGTCACATTCTCCTTATCTCGGGCAAAAAGTACTTTTGCATGCAAAATATTTTTCAACCAATCATCAAAATACAGCCAGTAACGCTTTTTTAATGGATGTTTCATAAAGAGACAAAATGGGCAATATCAGACCTAAACAAATCAATTATTTAAGAAATATGAAAGGAAATGAATGTTAGATAAGTAGTTTAATGAATTCGAGGTATTGTGAATATGATGATGTTGTATGCTCGAGATTTCAGTGAGATATTGATAGTTTTGTCGATCGTATTCAGCTTCCTAAGCTTAATATCAAAATTATGATTGTCAAGTCGTTGACTTTTACTAGGAATTCTTGATGAACTTAAGGCTAACCAGGCTGTATGCAATATGCGTTTGTTCAGAAGGAAAACAATCTTTGTTAAATCCGTTTTCGTACACAACTAATAGTTTGTAAACACAAAAGACGTGACGCAAAATTTAAAAGGCGTTGTTGATTTTGAACATCAAATAGCTGTAATGAAACACTTTCGTGGTATTAAATCGGATACAAGTCTACGGTAAAGCGTCTTATCGTTTTAGCTGTCTGTTTCTCGATGCTGATCTTTCCTTTAAATCTGTAATTGGTTGCAAGTGGAGTGGTTTTCCATCTGAAGAACCAACTAATTTGACAGTCACTGTGTGCCGATGTCTGAAATAGAGGTTGGTAGTTACTGTATAAACGAAAATATCTGGTACTTACTAGAATGACATTTGTTATAGAAATATTGTGTCACGTCATTTTTCGGTTTTCTTTTACATATACTCGGATCTTTCCTAAAGAGTAAATCGTTCGAAGAAAAGAATATAGATCTTTTTTTCACAGTTGTTCTTACATCGCTTCCTTAATCCTACGTAAAAACTCCTTCTCTGTTATTCCTTGTGCAATTGTATTGATTTTAACTTGCCGACTGTCAGACTCGTATACTTCATCTGTTTCTTTATTGTTTTCTTCCCTCGCTTCCAAAGGAAAGTCTACATCGTCTTGCCCATACGCATTCTTTGGGATGTGTTTCTCGTTAGAACGTTGAGTTTGAGTTTTTTTCGCTTCACTGGTAAATAAAGCATCTTTATGGCATTGCCTGAGAAATTGTATATCATACATAGCTGCTGCAATTGTGGTAATTTTTGTTCCATGTTTGCAGCTGTCTGTTGCCTTAATTGTTGTCCATCACATCCGGTTTGATGAGCAACTACATTAAATAATCAATTGAAACTAGAAAAGATAAAACACAAGAAGTTGTTTCCTTGGATTTGCCATAAAATTTCATACTCTAAAGTATTTTGTAGACTGTCTCCATTTGGAGTCGTCCAATGTCTTATGCCACTTGGTGTTGATGTGTCTGGTGGAATATCAACTAATCCGATTGCAGGTTGAGCTGCATTATTACCAATGACTTGTTCGACATACTCATTCTTATCCAAGATTATAGTTCGTCTGTCGACCACTTCAGATATGAGGGTGAGAGTGAAAATGCGCGGTAAATTAAGGAATTCTATATGATGTAAATATTTCATTAAATCGGAGCACAGAAAGTTTTCGAGTACATGTACAATACAAAAATCCAATAGTGAGGTTCGGCACAATATCACCATGAATAGAATGATGTAGAAGAAGAGTTTTTTTAAAAACACTAGCAGAATGAATGATTTCCCATTGGAGACACATATATGTGACTCCTTTATGCTTTCCACATAATCACTCGATCGCGTTCTTGTCCATTCGCATCTAACAATGGCTGATCATCGTCATCATCGATCATTCCATCCGGACCCCATCCGCATGTAGTTGATGGAGTTTCATTCATTCGTGTTATCTTTGGTGTCGTTCGATCCCTATAACACACAAACAAATGGGGTCTTTCCAAAGAAAAAAAACTTTTCTCCTTACTTTGATTGGTGTTTTCTTTTCCGAGGAACTGCTGTCGACGAGAGACCTTGGGTTAATATCGTTGGTATTGATTCAATCACAGCCAAGTTGAGTTTCTTGAAATATAATAAATAATCGGTTGTTATTTCTTGTTTATTTCTTCTTTCTCTAAGAATGACGTGATTGATCTTGAAAACATTCTTTTCTACGCCTGAGTAATCACCAACCGCGTCGACCACTGAGCCGAAAAAA